TAACAGATTAAAATTAGTACAAGTTATATTATATTTATGGCTCACAAATACAATTAACTACATAATATTAAGGTCATAGTCATACACAACGATATCAAGCTGCTAGCTCTGCCCAAGGACAAAAGGGAATCGCAGCACGTGCGGAATTGCGATTTTCCCCATTCTCCGCGACATATCGCGATTTTCACTTTTTCCGCGACAAATCGTGATTTTCTCAGATCCTCTCGACAATTCGCGATTTTTAAAGTTCTTCGCGACAAATCGCGCATTTTAAAAAAAATCTGGTGAACAAATTCGCGTATTTTCCTATAAATCTGCGGGTCAAATATCACGTCCTCTATAAGTATATGGAACCAATCACGTGATCCACATCAGCCTTCCGAATGTAGGTAGTGGTACGGACTTCGAAAATCGAACAAATATTTTCGGCTAATAATGATCAGGGTAGCATGAATCATGAACAAAAGTAGTTGAAATCAAATGAAATAAATTATTTTATCCCGCTTATATCAACAATCAAAATAAAAATAAATATTGCCGATGTCAAAGCGGCTGGCCTTGCGATATAATCCAAAAACTAGATACTCAGTATATGAATATACTAACAGTAACAACAAATTTAAGAACCAAAAGTACTTAGTTTCTAGAAAAACTTTGAAAAAATTTTGACTTATAAAATGTTCGGTTCGAGTCATCCTCGATACATACCTCTGAAGGCAAAGCTCCCGATTTCGATCATCACATGGCATGAAGTGCGTTTAGACACTTGATAATATTTAAGAATGTGCAGTGTGTGATGTGTGAACGGCAATTCAAGAACATGTAACACTATTGTCCCTCGATCCTAGGGCTAGAGTCTCTCCCGATCAGCAACAGTTAACACAGCACTCAGCAGCTCAATTTGCAACAATAAATAAAATAATAAACGCTATAAAGGAACCTGGATGTATTACTATAACATTCTTTTCAGATTCATAGGCAGCGATCATAGCAGTCAGGCCCCACAAGATCAAATTTATACTACTACTAGACAGGATTAACTACCTGAACATAACCAGAAAATCCAAAAAATGTAGGCTCATAATGGCAATGCGATCAGGGTAGCATGAACCGTGGAGAAAATTGGTTTCCAGGAATCCACTTTCAAAAGCATTTCTATTTCTTAACCCACTCCCACTCGCCTGCTGAGTGCTGACGTAACCTTGTTGGCCATAGACTTGACCACTAAACATAAAATTGACCACTAAACTGAAACATTAACTTGACCACTAGACATAAACGGATTAAACGGATTAAACGATTCAAAGGTCAAATTACAATGGTAATGTCTGACCAGATATAAAAAATTAAATTTACCCAAAAGTCATAAAGTATATATATAATTATATACAATGAACCCCGTAAATCTTAAGAGTGAGATTCAAAATACTTAATAATTTAAATGAACTTATCTGAAAGTGTTCCGAGTCATAGATTTAATTTGACATATGAAACTTGACCACTAGAAGTACTCAAGTAGACATTCACATAAATTGATCACTAGACATTAACTTGACCACTAGACATACAATGCAAATGGATTATGAAATCGCGCAGTAGGTGAAATCAGTGTTGTTATAATTGAATATTGATTGTCACTTGTCAGATACTTGTCACAAACGTCGTTGGATCTATAGTTATTGATTTGTGTTTTTTTTCTTGTTATTGAACAATGGACCGCTTGTCGCGGCGCCGCGATATTTGGCCAAAATAATCGCGATTTTCTAGTTTTGTCCTTGGCTCTGCCTTACCTGGGGACCTCAGGCTATCATGTTCATAATATGAACATGATAGCATATTAATCATAAACATGAATCATATTAATCATAAACAATAGAGTAAATTAAGTCATAGAGATTCGGCGGAATGACAGGCTGAGCGCGGCCCAGTAACTGTAAGTGTAAGCTCTGCCGAACGTTTTGAGGCATATATTTGTTTTCATTAGAAGCTGAAGTTTGACATAGGTGCTTAGTCTACGGTATCTGGATTCCCTAAATAAAGTTACTGGCTCTCCGATTAGAATCCAGCTGTTGGTTCTCCAATCACCACTAACTAAAATTAAGATGACCCGGGGCCGGGGTCAGGCCATGATTACGTAATATTATATCATGCTGTCAGGAGATCAGGGGTTGATTAGTATTAAGGGGAGATACACCAAAACCGTTTTTGCTCCGATCAACATCGATTTTATTTTATATTATTTTTAAATAGACAAAAAGAATAAAATTGTACACCTTCAAAAATTTTTAAAAACATTCCCTCATCGAGAAAAAAATATTTTTCTTTTTCGAAAATTTTTAAAATTTGGAGAAGTCTGTCACTGTAATACCGATAGTTCGGCCATTTAAAAAGTTTTTTGGCTGATTTTTTTACTGAACATTACTTACACTCCGTACTAGAAGCCATTGAAAGGATTATATAATTGAAAAATAAATTACCAAGTTACAGACCAAACAAGGTGAAAAAAGAAAAATTGGGATTTTTGCCTACCACCAAAGTTGTACATTTCACCACCCGCCCAGGTCATCAGATATCGCTTCAAAAATTCTTGTGAGTGTAGTTGATGATCATGGCAAGCTTTTTGGAACCAGATTTCTCTCAATTTTGAGTTTTAAGCTATGCAATGTGGCCTCAAACGACTTAGTAAAATTCATCGTAAAAAAGGGCAAAAAAGGCAGATTTAAGGCTTAAAATGCCTATAACTCAAAAAGTATCAGTTTTTTTGAAATAATTTTTACAGGATCGTAATCAGCTTGGTAAGACGAATCTTTTAGTACCAAATAGGTGCTTTTAGAAGACAAATTGTCTTAAATAATTTTCTAGCTCGAACACAAGGGTCCCCCCTTGTATAAATTTTGTACAAATTGTACACATTTTTTTACAAATTTTGTGGCTTTGAATATTATAAATGTCGTACTAAAAGATTCGTCTTACCAAGCTGATTACGATCCTGTAAAAATTATTTCAAAAAAACTGATACTTTTTGAGTTATAGGCATTTTAAGCCTTAAATCTGCCTTTTTTGCCCTTTTTTACGATGAATTTTACTAAGTCGTTTGAGGCCACATTGCATAGCTTAAAACTCAAAATTGAGAGAAATCTGGTTCCAAAAAGCTTGCCATGATCATCAACTACACTCACAAGAATTTTTGAAGCGATATCTGATGACCTGGGCGGGTGGTGAAATGTACAACTTTGGTGGTATGCAAAAATCCCAATTTTTCTTTTTTCACCTTGTTTGGTCTGTAACTTGGTAATTTATTGTTCAATTATATAATCCTTTCAATGGCTTCTAGTACGGAGTGTAAGTAATTTTCAGTAAAAAAAAATCAGCCAAAAAACTTTTTAAATGGCCGAACTATCGGTATTACAGTGACAGACTTCTCCAAATTTTAAAAATTTTCGAAAAAGAAAAATATTTTTTTCTCGATGAGGGAATATTTTTAAAAATTTTTGAAGGTGTACAATCTTATTCTTTTTGTCTATTTAAAAATAATATAAAATAAAATCGATGTTCGGAGCAAAAACGGTTTTGGTGTATCTCCCCTTAAGGAGGGGGGGGGGGGGGGGGTAAAAATTGCTAAAAATAAAATATTGATTACGTAATATGATTATGTGAACGACCCCTAACTTCTTTCAATATAATAGGTGCACGGTCGGTAAAAATAAAATTAAACTGGCTCGGATTTTTAAAAATTTGTGAACCATTGTTTTTTTTGAGAATGTGAGCGCTTTTTCATGATATAATTTTTTGAAATGATCGGTGCACAGTGATGAGTGAGTTTTTGTCGTAGTGTCATATTATATTTGATGATGCGCGGCTTTTAATTGGAGCCAAATATGCAGCTAATTTGAGTTATAACATAATGCTGATGATTGGATATGCTCCAACTTTTTCGGAAAGTTTTTAAAAAGATTTAAGTGTTCAAAGGTTTCCGAAAAATTATGTTAGGATTGGACTGAGGAAAGTTTACCTACTTTGTGATTCTATTCCCTTTTCTGTTTCTAAACGGAGGCGCGCGAAGAGGTTTACAGCGCGAAGAGGTTTACAGCGTGTGTCAACGTTGTATCACGTCGTGACCCCCATTGTCGTTTCACTAATATAAGCATGGCTTTCCCATTTAGCGTTAGCTACAATACAGGAGGAGCCGCGCACTCGTGCGTGGCGGGTCATACAACGTGTGAGTATGCAGACAATATCAACGCCCATTCCTGTTTGACCAAAATTTGAGGAATAATTGGGTAACTTTTATGTTTTAGGTTAATCACGTACATGACAGAACCGAGTATTTCTTATAAAAACAAATACTTAAATATAGGTACCATCTGTTAATGGTTAAATAAGTATAAGCACAAGAACAAAGAAACAATCCACATAACTCATTATATGACTTATTAATGATTATAATGATCACTCATTGCGAAAATTGTGTTAAAATAAAAAAAAACGAAATTATAAACAAAAAGTAAAAAGTATAATTTGCACTTTAAAAACAGTTATGTGTACGCATAGCCATGTGTATACGCGTACTGCGCGACGCGCTTGTTTCACTTGACGGATGTTACTCGTCTAAATTTCTTCGAAGTAGCGCGCGCCGCTTTCTTCTCGAAATGGCAAGTGCTACGAAGTAGCGCGCGCCGGGCCAGACCATTAACAATGGTCAATTGTTTCACAAGTTGAATATATTATATTTTGCCGCAAACGGCGGTCGCGCGCTACTTAACTGCAAGCGAGAGGGCTCTGGTTAGAGCAAGTTCTGTGCACTGCGGGGAGTACTTCACCGATCGGGATTCGGGGGCCTATAATAAAATATCACGCGGGATGTAAGTGCGCGCACAATGTAACCCAGGTCTAATGTCCATGTGTGATAAACTTGCAGCGCGCGGCAACCGCCAACCAGATATTGGGTCATGCTCTTAGCGGCGCTGACGCGACAGAGTCTAGCGAGCATGCCACTGAGTTCAGAGTTGGAGGAGGGAGTTGACTCCTTGTGTTATCCGGAGGTGAGTGTAACCTATTTCCTTGAGGAAGAGCAGCTTCTTGTACTCCGGCATGTCAAATGTCTGGCACACCTGCCAGGCAAACATTCATTTTAAATTACATTTTCAAAAACGAACGCAGTATAATACATAATAGAGTTTTGTTAACAATTTCCAACAGCAGCGAAGATTTATAATTTTAACAGTAGACCTACCTTTCTAACGTTATTAATAATATCTAGATCTTCAGGAGAATAACCCAGCATCCACAAAGAGTGGAGTATCTTATAGGCCTCGTCGATATCTTCCGAAGTGCAGTGTTTGATCATATTTTTTACAAGAAGGGGATGAGGTTCGTCACAAACTTTGAAAACATTTGCACTGTTAACTATCCCGTAACCCTGCAAGTAAGATTCATTACAAAATTATAAATATTCCCACAGCATACACGACGTATGGTGACGTATGCTGGCGTGTGATGACGTCATGATTCAATAATGTGAGCAGTGAGCGACAATACAAGTAACCTGATGTGTGGACTGTAGGTTATTTATGGCCTGTCTCATGTCACCCTGAGCGGTGAAGATTACTGCTTCTAAACCGTCATCTGTCTTAACCACACTCTCAGCTTCACAGATATCCAGCAACCTCCTCAGCACTTGAGCGTCTGTTATTCTCGAGTATCTGAAAAAAGCAATCACTATTATAATTAGGGATAATTATCGATATTTCGGTTTTAAAATAATTCTCATATCATAAAAGCTATGCATTGTAGGTTTAGTAATTTCAGTTATATTCTACTGATAGTAGTAATAGCAATAATAATTAGTAAATCTAATATGTGCACAATCAGTGGTTATGCATTATATTATTATTACCTGAGCATTGTACATCTCGACTGTATGGGTTCTATAATTTTATCAGAACTATTGCACGCCAGCGCAAACCGAGTAGTTTTGGAGTATATTTCCATAGTTCTTCGGAGGGCTTCCTGGGCTGCAGATGTCATGGAATCTGCTTCGTCTAGAATCACTATCTTGTGACGACCTACAGATAACAACAGTTTAGGGGTCGTTCACAATATTACGTAATCAGCTGAGTGGGGAGGGGGGTATCCAAACGATTTCGCTAGTATAATTTTGATACAATAACTATGTATAAAACTGATCGTAACTTTCTTCTGGGCGAACATTTTAATCCGGTTCCTGACCACATCAATCCCTCTCTCATTGGACGCGTTCAGATCCAAAACACCTTCTTTCATTGCCGGCCCTGCAATAACTCTTATAACCAGAGTTGTAGCAAATTTACTTTACATTTTTTTAACAGTTTTAATTTAAAAAAAGGTAAACTATTATTAGTAAAATAACTTACCGAGAAGAGCTCTAGCAGTAGCAAGGCAGAGTATAGTGGTAGTTTTACCAATACTAGGTGAGCCGGCTATAATGATATTTGGAAGGTTACCCTGCTCTGAAAATACTTGTAATCTCTTTATTGTCTCTTCATTTCCCACTTTTTCCGGAAGATATCTGAGAAATCCAAATAACAGTCGGGGTAAAAATTTGTAGAAATAAATTTGTAATAGAAATAAATCTGCATCGTTCACATATTATATGTAATCACATATGATATGTGAACGTATAGTGAGTATAGTGGTAGTTTTACCAATACCAGGTGAGCCAGTTATAATGACTTTTTGAAAAATGTTTCCCCCGCACCCATTCCGTAATCAGTTTTACACTTAATATGTGAACGATCCCTAATCTTCAAATAAAGTTTTAATGCAAACGAGGCTTCAAAATACCATTCAGTAAGGCAAGCACCTAAGTGTGGTGAGTAACTAGTTAAATGGTTTACCGAGGTCTGCGTTTTTCTATCCAGGGAAGTTCATATCTTGATTTGAACTTTAATTAAACTTGTAAGTCTTAGAATCTAAATGAAGTAAACTGTTGATTAATATCGACAATGATCTCATAAGAAAAATACGATTAGCCAAATACCCATAATTGGATATTGTCATAATTTGATTACAACTTCAAGTTCAATAGTGTAGTCCAGCCGGTTTATTATACTATTTCAAATTTGCTTCAAAGTATTATTGAATACTAAAATAATCTAAAAAAAGAAATCAAAAATTATGATTACAATAATATTAATGGTGACGATGTTTTACACCGCAAGAGGAGGAGACACATATTTGATTCAGCAAGACCTCCGAATCAATATGATTTGGCTGTCCACGTTTGATATCTTAGTTAAGTAAAATTACATCTACAATCTAAACTGCGCGAATACCATGTTTTAGAGGCGGAGTCTGGGATTGCTTGCTCTGCAGCCGTTCATGGCGTCTATGATATCATATTAATGAAACCATAGCACCGGTTTTCAGTTTCGCGCAACTTACGGCCATGTATGGGTCGAGTAGATTCTATCACAAACACTTCAGATATAGAGTGGCCTAGCTTTCCTCCATAATCAAGTTCTGTATCAGTGATATAGATCATGTCCCCCGCTGCTCCGTTACAGTTTAGAGAGAATGTCTGGAATTCTACACTGCTGTCGTACTCTGGTTGAAGAAAATAATATTTAGGGCTTAATACTCAAATTGTTTAAATATAAATCTTATGGGTGAAACTTCTGCCTCATCTGTCATCTGTACTCATCTGGTACTGCCATGACTTTGCTAGATTAATATTTGACGCTATAAGTTAATTAACTTACCAGTTATTTCTTTACCGCAATCTGCAACTTTTGTTTCTCCCTTCTCGTCAATGGAATACACCATGACCACTGTGCCAAGTATTCTTTGCTCGCAACAACCTTCCTTTACGTTTGTCAGCTTCACTGTGCCTACCCTGTACTTTTCTAGCAGGAACAGCTTCAAGAAGTTTCCTTCAGCATCATCGTCCTTAACCATATAGTTGGTCATGTAATCTCCGTCATAAGCTTTCTCAGGTTCATAACGTGTAGCTTCATTAGATGAGGCGTCTTTGTACCAGCTTTTTGCTTCAGATCGTTCTATCGACAAATATTCTGAATAATATTAAGATCATTACATCGCGACTAAAAGTAAAATTTACGATTTTATATTTAATTATTTACCGAAAATTTAGAAAGTTTTTTAACACAACTTATCATGAGCTGTTGAAAATAATTTATAAGTCATAAGTATTAGTAAGGTAAATTTGGAATATTGAAATATATTTACACTATGTATAATCATTCCAATATTCCATCACATGGTACAGCACCGATATCATATCTCATGATATCACCTACCTGACCCTAATATCTCGACTTCAGCAATGGTGTGTCCCGCTTCTGCGTCATAATCCAGATCAGTGAGATACAGCATGTCCCCCACTACACCGTCGCAGTTCAGAGAGTAGGTCCGATCCTCTATAGTTTGTGGGTTCCCGGGATTATTCTCTGTAATTTATGTTGTGTTATTAATCATCTACTAAAGATCTTGGTGAGAGTTTCGTTATCAATTATTAAGTAATCAATAGACTAATATTTAAACTTAAGAGACATTTTACAAATAGAACAATGTAAAATTCATCACCAGTTATTTTTCCGCAACTCGACACTTCGGTCTCTACATTTTTAGTAGAGTAGACCCTAACTTCTGTGTTCTTCATCCTTTCGGCAAAAGCTTTATCCTTCCTACTAATCATCTTAACTTCTCCGATGCTATAAGCTCGTGAGAGATATAGCTTCAGAAAGTTCCCAGCCACTGCTTTATCTTGTACACTGTATAGGGTGTTGTAGTTCCCGTCATGTGCGTTTGCAGCAACGTAGTTAACATGGTGGTTAAACGATACTGATCTTTCGATAGTCAACTGCTTCTCTGATGCTGCAAAACAATTGAATAAAGTGATTTTAAGTTAGCAAAATGATATTCCAGCATCAATAAAAAATTACTGATGAGACGAAGAAGTCTAAGAATCTTTAAAAAAAGAATATACAAATTTTGAAAAAGATGAAAAGCAAATAGTTACATCAAATAGTTGAAAATAGCAAGACTTACCCCTTATTAAAGGAATCAAAAATATTGCCACTAAACTGAAAATCTTGTAAACTTCCATGTCACATACAATGCTGATAAATGATTGATTTTGATTATGCTTACACATTCTGTCATATAATAAGACTAATATGACTAGGCGCAGGCAATGTGCCCAGTCTTGTAATTTCCTACAAAGAAACTTAAACTAAACCTACAGAGTAGCAAAAAAGCACCGCTTGAAACAAATGACAAAACAAACTATTCCAAAGCAGAGAGCCCTCTATAAGCATCACCCGCGTAGGTTAATTATTTCCTCTGATCCTATCACGTGACGTTGATTCGTAAATCCTCGGACACGCGATCACATTCGTAACGTGTCGTATGCCGACTAGGATAGTCGGCATACGACTACGTCACCAGAGCTCAAGCTACTTGATCAGGCCTTACATGGAATAGTATAGTGTATCGCGTGTAATTGGATCCAATTATAATAGGAGCTGCGCAATTATTGCAGCATCTTGATCTGGTATCACCTTCTGAAACCTAGCAGGCAGCTGGGCCAGAAATTTTAAGATAGAAGGATTTTTTGTTAATGAATATCGAAGCGAAAATCATGTAACCCTATGTAAATGTTTTCGAGGACGCTGAACACGATAAAACTGGTTTTGATTATCATACTCAAGGGAAAATTTCTTTAAAATGCACTTGGCTGTCATAGATGTTATTATAAGCTAAGGAAAGCGCCCGAGCGGCTTATCGGATGGCACCGGTCTCTCTGCCGAATCTCAGTAATTATAAACAATTATGACTCTAGTTCTCAGCTAATGTCAATGATAGTTCAGAAGACGAAGGAAATTTTTCCAAATATTTGCTTAATATCAACGAATACGGATATATTCAACCAATATCGAAAAGGACTGCCAAGGATTGTATCGGGACTCCTATAAGCAGTATTTCAAGTCTTCATAGCGGTTGATGATATGAATGGCTTTATATAAAGTAAGATACGGTATCTTAGAACTTTAGAAACCATAATAAACCCCAATTGATATAATATATCAATTTTAGATAAACTAGCAGGAACCCGTATAACCCTATAGTCAAGACTCAAGAGACTAAAATAATTATTATCTATTTAATTCGCGTTTTTGACACCACCAATTTTGGGCTCTAAAACTCCTATTCCTTGGCCAATTTTTATTTTTTTATACTAATTTGAAGGCCACCTGAGTGGAAAAATTTGAACATCAGGCGCAGAGAAAATTATCTCCTGCAGAGCACAATTCTACTTCTAGGAGTGAGGTGAGAAACTAAGCGAAATAATTTTCCGAGCCTCGACTTGAAAAATCGTAATCGACAATTTGCTCTTCTTTTTGCCGTAATTATTGTCATTGAAAATCATGTCTTTAGCCACAAAAGTACCATCGCCGAAGCATAGAGTTGGGGATAATTTTCCAAGAAACGTTCATGCAGAAGATAATTGTTCCCAATTTTCGACAAATGGTCACTTGCACTTTTAGATTTTTTGAAAAATAGATTATCATGATCGTAAGTTATATGAAGAAGCCACTACAATGAAAATTACTAAGACATTACTCTACAAGTCCAGCTGTTTGTAGGTGACAAATAGTAACGTTATGCTACAAGCACTCGTACATAACAACGTATTGGTTGATGCGGCTAGTGACCATTATTCAACATTTGCTATAATTACCCAATTTTAAATCAACGATATCTCATTCTACAGTACCATGAGAGCGTTACAAAAATGCTTCCCGGAATCAGCACAATGAAGGGAACAAAATTGAAGATGCTGTTGGAATTTTAATTATTCATCTTCCACCCGTAGTCCCTACACTAACTAGAATGAAGATGACCCGAAAATACCTTAATCGACTATTGTTTAGCAATAATGACCTTAAAACTTTACAGTTCACCTACTTCTCCTGCTAGATTGATTGTTTAAAGTCTTTTAAAATCTGGTTCAGCGATAAAAATCAACGAAACGCGCAAAACATTACAGCATATTGTTTTAAGTGAATGATAGCCTCAGCATAATCAGCATTCCAATAAGAGTAAGAACATAAACTATAACTATCAACATTATATTAATTATAAGTACTGAACGCAATGTACTGCATGTTTAACCCGGCTAGGTTTATAACAGCTATAACTCAGTGAGATTAGGTCTGTTTTAGCTCATATTTTCTCACCAAATAGAGAACAATTGACAATGTGATCTTATTGCTGACAAATTATGAATGTGAATACTTTTATTATTATATTGCACCTAAGAGTTATAGACTGTCAAAGTTTAAAACGCGCATTGGTATAGCAATATATGGAACAGATATTTTACGAGTATCACCCGTTAAATAATATAAAGTCCTATTTATAATTCTAAACATATTCTTGATCCTTACACATCATACTATTGTGTCCAATTAATGGTTAGGTCTCCAAACTCATAGCATAAAACACGTCTTTTTGCCCGTAAGAGCCTCAACTAAATAGTCGTGCGTGGGGGGCTTACTTATGACTTACCTGTAGACTACTATACACTATAATATAATCTATATTATTATTACATATTATATTATTACAAGTTAAGAGTTTGTAGGTTTACAACCTACCAGGACGCGCGCCGAGTTGGACTCGTCGACGGTCCTGGAACAGATATTTTACGAGTATCACCCGTTAAGTTAAGAGTGCGTTTGCGAGTTTGTGTTTAAAACTTCTACATTCTACAGTTTAACAGTAAATCTATGGAGTTGGGAAAACCGTTTAAATTTATCATTAGTTGTTCTATTTCATCTATTCAGTAAATTCAACATCATGATGGCTATTGAGAAACCGGCTTATTATAGAAAGGACCTGAAAAGGTTAGCGTAGGTTCAATTCAGGTATACTTATAGTATACACGAGCGAGGCTACTCGTCTAAATTTTCCTGGTCATTCGGCTGAGTCGTCTAAACAACAGGAAATAAACTAAGTCCTTATTTCACACTTGATACATGTTTCGCGCGCGAAAAGTGGCATGCAACGTATGTCAATTTCACACCAAGTATTGAAAATTTAGGGGCTCAACTCATAAAAAGTGACCGCACTGCAAAAGGAAAAGAGTGGCACCTCGTCTGACAGCTTGAGTTGAGTATCTTGCGTGCTTCACATTCCTCAAATTCGGGAACCGGTCACTGTGGCGGAAGTCACTGCGGCGGTGTACAGTCCGGCGGAGGACGGTTCAGCGGAGGCCGGTGCTTTCCAAAAAGGTTGGACGGAACGGCGGATTGTAGGTTTACAACCTACCAGGACGCGCGCCGAGTTGGACTCGTCGACGGTCCTGTATATGGAACAGATATTTTACGAGTATCACCCGTTAAAACGGCGGATCACATGACACCCATTTTACTTTGGACAGTACGGCGGTACTACTACTACTACTACTAGAAACTGTACCTAAGACAGAACAATTACACATTCAACTTGTTTTTAAGTTTTGTTCTAGCTGCGATAAAGGGGAAGCCGCGCACTCGTGCGTGGCGGGTCATACAACCTATGACAATTTCAACGCCCATGCCTATTTTACCAAAATTTTAGGAATATAAATTGGGTAACTTTTAGAGTTTTAGGTTAATGACGTACAGAACCGAGTATTTCTCATAGAAACAAATACTTAAATATAGGTACCATCTGTTAATGGTTAAATAAGTATAAGCACAAGAACAAAGAAACAATCCACATAATTCATTAAATTTAATGATTAACGATCATTCATGATTCATTGCGAAAATTGTGTTAAAATCGAAAAAAATGAAATTGGAAATTATAAATAAAAAGTAAAAAGTAGAATTTGCACTTTAAAAACAGTTCTGTGCACTGCGGGGAGTACTTCACCGATCGGGGGCCTATAATAAAATATCATGCGGTATGTAAGTGCACGCACAATGTAACCCAGGTGACAGGTCCAATGTCCATGTGTGATAAACTTGCAGCACGCACCTCAACTGCCAACCAGCTATTGGGTCATGCTCTTAGCGGCGCTGACGCGACAGAGTCTAGCGAGCATGCCACTGAGTTGGAGGAGGGAGTTGACTCCTTGTGTTATCCGGAGGTGAGTGTAACCTATTTCCTTGAGGAAGAGCAGCTTCTTGTACTCCGGCATGTCAAATGTCTGGCACACCTGCCAGGCAAACATTCATTTTACATTAAATTTTCAAAAACGAACGCAGTATTATAATACATAATAGAGTTTTGTAAACAATTTCCAACAGCAGCGAAGATTTATAATTTTAACAGTAGACCTACCTTTCTAACGTTATTAATAATATCTTCAGGAGAATAACCCAGCTTCCACAAAGAGTGGAGTATCTTATAGGCCTCGTCTATATCTTCCGACGTGCAGTGTTTGATCATATCTTTTACAAGAAGGGGATGAGGTTCGTCACAAACTTTGAAAACATTTGCACTGTTAACTATCCCGTAACCCTGCAAGTAAGATTCATTACAAGATTATAAGTATTCCCACAGCATACACGACGTATGATGACGTATGATGACGTGTGATGACGTCATGATTCAATAATGTGAGCGACAATACAAGTAACCTGATGTGTGGACTGTAGGTTATTTATGGCCTGTCTCATGTCACCCTGAGCGGTGAAGATGACTGCTTCTAAACCGTCATCTGTCTTAACCACACTCTCAGCTTCACAGATATCCAGCAACCTCCTCAGCACTTGAGCGTCTGTTATTCTCGAGTATCTGAAAAAAGCAATCACTATTATAATTAGGGATAATTATCGATATTTCGGTTTTAAAATAATTCTCATATCATAAAAGCTATGCATTGTAGGTTTAGTAATTTCAGTTATATTCTACTGATAGTAGTAATAGCAATAATAATTAGTAAATCTAATATGTGCACAATCAGTGGTTATGCATTATATTATTATTACCTGAGCATTGTACATCTCGACTGTATGGGTTCTATAATTTTATCAGAACTATTGCACGCCAGCGCAAACCGAGTAGTTTTAGAGTATATTTCCATAGTTCTTCTGAGGGCTTCCTGGGCTGCAGATGTCATGGAATCTGCTTCGTCTAGAATCACTATTTTGTGACGACCTACAGATAAGAACAGTTTAGGGGTCGTTCACAAATCACAATATTACGTAATCAGCCGAGGGGGGAGGGGGTATCTAAACGATTTCATTAGTATAATTTTGATACAATAACTATGTATAAAACTGATTACGGAGAGGGGGGGGGGGGGTAAACATTTTTCAAAAAGTGATCTCTTTTTTATACAACGAAGACGAAGTATGAATTGAAAGAAATGATGCACATTGCAAAGCATTACTACTAAGAAGAGAGAAAGTGACCTGGCGGGAGTGTAACTTTCTTCTGAGCGAACAATTTAATCCGGTTCCTGACCACATCAATCCCTCTCTCATTGGACGCGTTCAGTTCCAAAACACCCTCTTTCATTGCCGGCCCTGCAATAGCTCTTATAACCAGAGTTGTAGCAAATTTACTTTAAATTGCCATTTTTACGGCCCAGTTTTGATTGTAAAAAAAGGTAAACTATTATTAGTAAAATAACTTACCGAGAAGAGCTCTAGCAAGGCAGAGTATAGTGGTAGTTTTACCAATACCAGGTGAGCCGGCTATAATGATATTTGGAAGGTTGCCCTGCTCTGAAAATACTTGTAATCTCTTTATTGTCTCTTCATTTCCCACTTTTTCCGGAAGATATCTGAGAAATCCAAGTAACAGTCGGGGTAAAAATTTGTAGAAATAAATTTGTAATAGAAATAAATCTGCATCGTTCACATATTATATGTAATCACATATAATATGTATAGTGAGTATAGTGGTAGTTTTACCAATACCAGGTGAGCCAGTTATAATGACTTTTTGAAAAATGTTTCCCCCCACCCATTCCGTAATCAGTTTTACACTTAATATGTGAACGATCCCTAATCTTCGAATAAAGTTTTAATGCAAACGAGGCTTCAAAATACCATTCAGTAAGGCGAGCACCTAAGTGTGGTGAGTAACTAGTTAAATGGTTTACCGAGGTCTGCGTTTTCTATCCAGGGAAGTTTATATCTTGATTTGAACTTTAATTAAACTTGTAAGTCTTAGAATCTAAATGAAGTAAACTGTTGATTAATATCGACAATGATCTCATAAGAAAAATACGATTAGACAAATACCCATAATTGGATATTGTCATAATTTGATTACAACTTCAAGTTCAATAGTGTAGTCCAGCCGGTTTATTATACTATTTCAAATTTGCTTCAAAGTATTATTGAATACTAAAATAATCTAAAAAAAGAAATCAAAAATTATGATTACAATAATATTAATGGTGACGATGTTTTACACCGCAAGAGGAGGAGACACATATTTGATTCAGCAAGACCTCCGAATCAACATGATTAGGCTGCCCACGTTTGATATCTTAGTTAAGTAAAATTACATCTAAACTGCGCGAATACCATGTTTTAAAGGCGGAGTCTGGGATTGCTTGCTCTGCAGCCGTTCTATGATATCATATTAAGGGGGGGGGGGGGGGGGGGGGGGGGGGGGGGGGGGGGGGGGGACAATGGATATTTTTTTGTGAAACTTGATTTCGAGATAGCAGTTGACCAACAAACTAGGACCAGTGACCGAACTTTTGAGGGGGTCCCGGACCCCAACCGCCAAACGGTGCCCGCGGGGCAGCCACGCCCATATTTGGTCCAAATTAGGCCCAATTTAGCCAAATACCCTGAACATGCCCAAAACCCAGATTTTAGGTGCTCTACTTGTAGTTAGTGGTCTCTTGAACTCGTATATGAAATTTCATCAAGATTGGACAAAAAATGACTGAGTTATGAGCCAAAAACCATATGCCCATATTTGGGCATATGCACCAAATTTGTTAGATTTCGTCCCATAAATTGGTCAAATATCAATATTTTTGAATGAAACTTACTTTATATGAAAGGTAAGCCTAAACTACATATTCTCTATAAGTTATAGCTTTATATCTGTTTAAATGTGGATACTAAGGCGAAAAAACCACAAAAAATGAACTAAATTGCCTGTATCTTGGTTCGCGATATTCGCGGAATTGATCTCATTAAAATTGTAACAACTCAATCAGTTTTCAAAATTTTTCCACGAAATTTTCGGAATCGACTCGAAATCGCATTTCCACCTTATTTTGAGAACAGATTTTTGATTTAGGCCTCCAAAAAAATTTGGCGGCCAAATTCCAAAATTTTCCCGGAAAAATTCAGAATTCGGCCGCCAAATTTTTTTGGAGGCCTAAATCAAAAATCTGTTCTCAAAATAAGGTGGAAATGCGATTTCGAGTCGATCCCGAAAATTTCATGGAAAAATTTTGAAAACTGATTGAGTTGTTACAATTTTAATGAGATCAATTCCGCGAATATCGCGAACCAAGATACAGGCAATTTAGTTCATTTTTTGTGGTTTTTTCGCCTTAGTATCCACATTTAAACAGATATAAAGCTATAACTTATAGAGAATATGTAGTTTAGGCTTACCTTTCATATAAAGTAAGTTTCATTCAAAAATATTGATATTTGACCAATCTATGGGACGAAATCTACCAAATTTGGTGCGTATGACCAAATATGGGCATATGGTTTTTGGCTCATAACTCAGTCATTTTTTGTCCAATCTTGATGAAATTTAATATACGAGTTCAAGAGACCACTAGCTACAAGAAGAGTACCTAAAATCTGGGTTTTGGGCATGTTCAGGGTATTTGGCTAAATTGGGCCTAATTTGGACCAAATATGGGCGTGGCTGCCCCGCGGGCACCGTTTGGCGGTTGGGGTCCGGGACCCCCTCAAAAGTTCGGTCACTGGCCCTAGTTTGTTGGTCAACTGCTATCTCGAAATCAAGTTTCACAAAAAAATATCCATTGTCCCCCCCCCTTAATGAAACCATAGCACCGGTTTTCAGTTTCGCGCAACTTACGGCCATGTATGGGTTGAGTAGATTCTATCACAAACACTTCAGATATAGAGTGGCCTAGCTTTCCTCCATAATCAAGTTCTGTATCAGTGATGTAGATCATGTCCCCCGCTGCTCCGTTACAGTTTAGAGAGAATGTCTGGAATTCTACACTGCTATCGTACTCTGGTTGAAGAAAATATCATTTAGGACTTAATACTCAAATTGTTTTAAATTTAAATCTTATGAGTGAAACTTCTGTCATCTGTACTGCCACGACTTTGCTAGATTAATATTTGACGCTATAAGTTAATTAACTTACCAGTTATTTCTTTACCGCAATCTGCAACTTTTGTTTCTCCCTTCTCGTCAACAGAATACACCATGACCACTGTGCCACGTATTCGTTGCCCGCAACAACCTTTCTTTACGTTTGTCAGCTTCACTGTGCCTACCCTGTACTTTTCTAGCAGGAACAGCTTCAAGAAGTTTCCTTCAGCATCATCGTCCTTAACCATATAGTTGGTCATGTAATCTCCGTCATAAGCTTTCTCAGTAGCATTACGTGTAGCTTCATTAGATGAGGCGTCTTTGTACCAGCTTTTTGCTTCAGATCGTTCTATCGACAAATATTCTGAATAATATTAAAATCATTTCATCGTGACCAAAATGTACGATTTTATATTTAATTATTTAACGAAAATTTAGAAAGTTTTTAAACACAACTTATCATGAGCTGTTGAAAATATTTTATAAGTCATAAGTATTAGTAAGGTAAATTTGGAATATTGGAATATATTTACACTATGTATAATCATTCCAATATTCCATCACATGGTACAGCACCGATATCATATCTCATAATAGCACTCACCTGACCCTAATATCTCGACTTCAGCTATGTTGTGTCCCACTTCTGCGTCATAATCCAGATCAGTGAGATACAGCATGTCCCCCACTACACCGTCACAGTTCAGAGAGTAGGTCCGATCCTCTATAGTTTGTGGGTTCCCGGGATTCACCTCTGTAATTTGTGTAGAGTCATTAATTAATCATCTACTAAAGATCTTGGCGAGAGATTCGTTATCATTTATTTAGTAATCAATTAACTTATATTTAAACTTCAGGGACATTTTACAAATATAAAAATGTAAAATTCATCACCATTTATTTTTCCGCAACTCGACACTTTGGTCTCTACATTTTTAGTAGAGTAGACCCTAACTTCTGTGTTCTTCATCCTTTCGGCAAAATATGGTTTATCACTCCTACTAATCATCTTAACTTCTCCGATGCTATAAGCTCGTGAGAGATATAACTTCAGAAAGTTCCCAGTCACAGCTCCATCTTTTACGCTGTACCAGGTTTGATAGTCTCTATCATGTGCCTTTTCAGCAATGTAGTTGTTACGGTGGTTGAAAGATACTGATCTTTTGATAGTCAACTGCTTCTCTGATGCTGCAAAACAATTGAATAAATTGATATTAAGTTAGCAAAATGTCATTCCAGCATCAATAAAAAATTACTGATGAGACGAAGAAGTCTAAGGATCTTCTAAAAAGAATATAAAAATTTTGAAAAGATGAAAAGCAAATAGTTACATCAATCAGTTGAAAATAGCAAGACTTACCACTTATTAAAGGAATCAAAAATATTGCCACCATACTGAAAATCTTGTAAACTTCCATGTCACATAAAATGCTGATAAATGATTAATTTTTATTATGCTTACACATTCTGTCATATACGATTCATATGACTAGGCGCTGGAAATGTGCCCAGTCTTGTAATTTCCTACAGAGAAACTTTATAAACAACCTACAAGTACAGAGCAGCCAAAAAAAGCACTGCGTTTTTGACACCACAAATTTTGGGCTCGAAAACTTCTATTCCTTGGCCAATTTTTATTTTTTCATGCTGATTTGGAGGCCACTTGAGTGGAAAATTTGAAGATCAGGCGCAAAGGAAATTATCTCCTGCAGAGCACAATTCTAGGAGCGAGGTGAGAAACTAAGCGAGATAATTTTCCGAGCCTCGACTTGAAAAATCGTAATCGACAATTTGCTCTTCTTTTTGCCGTAATTATTGTCATTGAAAATCATGTCTTTAGCCACAAAAGTACCATTGCCGAAGCATAGACTTAGAGTTGGGGATAATTTTCCAAGAAACGTTCATGCGCAGATGAAAATTGTTCCCAATTTTCGACTAATGATCACTTTTAGATTTTAAAAAAATAGATTATCATGATCGTAAGTTATATGAAGAAGCCACTACTATAAAAATTACTAAGAGTCAAGACATTACTGTACAAGTCCAGCTGTTTGTGCGGGTGACAAATAGTAACGTTACCTGGGGACCTCAGGCTATTTATATGTTCATGAACATAGAATAGAGATTCGGCGGAATGACAGGCTGAGCGCGGCCTAGTAAATAGTAACCTAACGCTACAAGCACTCGTACATAACAACAATAACATCTTGGTTGATGCGGCTAGTGACCATTATTTAACATTTGCTAGATGTACTGACGACTGACCACGTGCCATGCCTTCGTCCCAGAAAATTAATAGAACAATTATTTTAAATGAAAGGTTATTTTTATCTATAAAGCAGACCTATGAATGCAATTGACCACTCAAATCATGAAGTTTTACACTTTAATAGTTTCCACTTTGGTTTTATTCCATTATTATCTTGAAAAATTTGATCGAGGAAATTTAAAAAATCAGTTATGTTTTAGGTTTTAATTTCTCTTCATCATCTAGCTGAGTAGCTCTGTACTGTAGTATGGCTTTTACTTGGCAACGACGAAAACATAGATTTTCGCTTCGATATTCATTAACACAAAATCCTTCTATCTTCAAATTACTACTACTAGGTTTCAGAAGGTGATACCAGATCAAGATGCTGCAATAATTGCGCAGCTCCTATTATAATTGGATCCAATTACACGCGATACACTATACTATTCCATGTAAGGCCTGATCAAGTAGCTTGAGTTCTGGTGACGAATGTGATCAGGTGTCCGAGGATTTACGAATCAAGGTCACGTGATAGGATCAGCGGTCACGTGATAGGACGGCTACCGGACAACTGAACCCAATTTGGACGTTTCCTAGATAGGGTAGCTTGGGAAAATAATTTAAAACCCAATCAGTCTACCTAATTAACTTTGAAACGACAACTGAACCCAATCGTCACTAGAACTAACTGACAGATATTGATAAACAAGTTTCCAAAAATTTGGCAGCCAAATTCCAAATTTTGCAATGCGAAATTCAGAATTTGGCCGCCAAATTTTTTTAAAGGCCTAACTCAAAATTCCAATACAAAACTTAAGGTCGAAATGCGATTCTACGTTGATTCTGAAAATTTCTTGTAAAAATATTGAAACCCTATTGAGTTCTATTGTTTTGAGCGAAATCAGTTTTGCAATTATCGCGAACTGAGATATATGCGATTTTGTTAATTTTTTGCGATTATTTGAACACAGAATCCACAGTTAGGTAGATATTGAGCTGATACTCATAGAGAATGTGTAGTATAGGCTTACCTTCCATATAAAGTTGGTTTCATTCAAAAATATTGATATTTGACCAATTTATGGGCCAAAATCGATCAAATTTGGTGCGTATGCCCAAATATGGTCATATGGTTTTTGGCTCATAACTCAGTCATTTTTTGTCCAATCTTGATGAAAATTCATATACGAGTTCAAGGGACTACTAGCTACAAGTAAAGCACCTAAAATCTGGATTTTGGGCATGTTGAGGGTATTTGGCTAAATTGGGCCTAATTTGGACCAAATATGGGCGTGGCTGCCCCGCGGGCACCGTTTGGCGGTTGGGGTCCGGGACCCCCTCAAAAGTTCGGTCACTGGTCCTAGTTTGTTGGTCAGCTGCTATCTCGAAAACAAGTTTCACAAAAAAATCAGGGTGAACCCCCCCCCCCCCCCCCCCCCCCCCCCAGCAACATCGTGTCCAAAACACTTAGCAATGGCAAAAAGATAATCCAAAACTTAATTTTCGCGAAAGACTCTAGTTTTGGTAGTTCCCCGTTGATTTCAGGTGGGCATGTAGATAGGGCTACGGTGAGGAGGTTTTGGGTTGCTGAGAGGTGAACCTATGATTCTCATGACTGCTTTAGTCAAGATGACCTAAAAGAGGCTGTTAAATTTATTATTTATAACACTTATGTTGTCTTCGGTGGGATTGTATTCATACAAACCAAGGGTATTCCTATGGGTGGAAATTCAAGTTCCCCTATAGCTGATCTCACTGTTGGCAAAAAGGAATTTAATTATATGAAACGTTTACTTCAGGAAAAGAAAATGGGATTAGCAAAGATATTATCCAATAATAAACGATATGTTGACGATTTATCTATTATTAACTACCTTTACTTTCATAAATTGATTAAAGATATTTATCCTAATTCATTGGAGATGGAGCGAGCTGGTTCCAATAATAAAATCATTAACTACCTTGATTTAAATATTAATATTTCCACAGAAGGACTAGAAATATCAGTGTATAACAAAACTGATGATTTTAATTTTCATGTTGTATCCCTTACATTTCCCCACAGTAACATCCCAACCGAGGTTGGCTACAACGTTTTTTCAAGTCAAGTTCTTAGATATGGTAATGTTTGCACTAGATTGGATATCTTTACCTCCCATCTTCACAAGATATTCAAAATTCTAATTGATAGAGGATATAGCCGTGATAGACTGATTAAAGGTATTAAACGTTGTCTGAGGAAATATAATAACGTTTTCAGGAAGTTCGGTATTCTAGATGACCATAAAATTATTAAACAACTCCCCTGATATCTTTTGATTTTATTGAAACACGGGTACTAACTCTGCTAAACTGAAAAAATTCTGAAACTTAGGTGAATAAGTGTACAACGTGCTAAACCGAAGTTCAGACTGACCAGTGAAAATGGGCGAGCGTACCAAGTGTCATTTTAATTAGATGTTTTAGTCAGTGATTTATTATTAGAGCTTGTAATTACAAATACAATAACTAATGCTCCTGTAAATACTTTAATTAATTATTTGCTCCGTTATTCTTTTTCCTTCCTCTTTTCCTTGTCATCCCCTTTAGTTTTAAGATTCTTGCTATAAATGGCTACAGCTTACACTATTAATGCTAAGTACCAAACAACAAGTGGGAGGTGGATCGTTGGTATACCGTTAAATCGATTTAACACCGCAATTCCAGTCGCAAGCCTGGGACCACTACTAGCAATAGCATTGTCACAACATCTACAAAGCTGCCATATAGCCTGACTGACAATTTTCTCGACTGACTGACAATGTTTCTTCTTTTCCCCACTTAGAATACAAAGATTAGTACATTTTAGCTTATGATTAATATTATATTTTTACCTTTAATTTACCTAGATTGGTCGGCAGCTTTCCGCTTGAATTCTGCTCTGAACTCTGCTTTCTCAGTTAACGGGTGATACTCTTAAAATATCTGTTCCATATATTGGGACCGTCGACGAGTCCAACTCGGCGCGCGTCCTGGTAGGTTGTAAACTTACAACTTTCTCAGCTACTAAGTTGGGCTCTTATTAATTCGCTCGCCCAAAAATTTCACGTGACTTTGGTTTTTATGGTTTTGCAGCCGTACAAAACAGTTTTACATAAACCCTAATCCCAACCCTAACCCTAACCATAACCCCAAAGCTATCCATAACCCTTACCACAACCGTAACCCTAACCCGAGCCCTAAGGCTAAACAATCGAATTCATCTTTTACTAGCCTGTCACGTGACCAAAACGGTTTTTTGCCCATAACTCTCCAGTGAAGCATTTTTACCCTACGTTGTACGTCATGGGGGGTGATTCGGAATCAGCGTCCAAAAATACACCGATGCAGATCAATTTCATACCCAAAGGGCCTTTTCACAAGAATTTTCTTAAAATTTGGGCGAGCGATTTAGTAGGAGCGACTAAGTTGTCAGGCCGGTCGTGGGAATGAGGTTTGGCATCGTCATGGCCAAGGACTGATCTCCATGGTCAAGGATTACATGAGCAGGACATTTCTTGATTCTGTACTTCTGTCATCTCCAGGTAGAGTTGCCAGAAGTAGTTGAGCTCCTCTTTGTCCGCTGATGTACTAGTTCATGTCATACGTTGTATGACCCGCCTGTATCGTAGAAACTCTACTACTATAGTGAAGCGACAGTGGGGGTCACCACGTGATACAATGTACTTGCTGAAGACAATCATGATTAGGTATGGCAGCCTACGAATAAAGGTCACGTGATAGGACCGACTGTCACGTGATCTCAGTTATCCCTTATATAGCACAAGTAGCTGCAATTGATCAGCTCTTAATTGGGCTACAATCCTTGACAAGCCTATAATTTAAATTACCCAATTTTAAATGAACGATATCTCATTCTACAATACCATGAGAGCGTTACAAAATGCTTCCCGGAATCAGCACAATGAAGGGAATAGAACAAGATGCTGTTGGAATATTAATTATTCATATCTTCCACCCGTACTCGTAGTCCCTATTTCAAAGGTTTCCGAAAAAATTATGTTAGGTTTGGACTGAGGAAGTTTACATACTTTGTGATTTTATTCCCTTTTCTGTTTCTAAACCATAAACGGAGGCGCGCGCGAAGAGGTACCCAGCAAACCTTACCTGGGGACCTCAGGCTATCACATATCATGTTCATATTAAACATAGAGATTAGGCCGAATGACAGGCTGAGCGCGGCCCAGTAAAGCAAACCCTACCGGCTGGGGTCTTTCTCCAAAAGTAAAATAAATAGAACCTTCCGGTTTTTAACAAGATTTCCGTCTCGTAAATTTAAAGTTAGCTCCCCAGGAGCAAAATTTGGGACATGACTTAGATTCTGAATTAAACCGAAAAGTTTGATTTTGGGCTAAACAAAAGATCGCAGCTTTTTAACTTTGCAAAGCGATGTGGTTGTCATGACTACAGTAGGCTAAATGCAGCGTGCGGAAGGTGAACTTGATGTGACGCGCGATCGAGGACAACCGTGCTGTTGAAAATCGACCACCTCTAGCGAGCCCGGCAGGTGGTAAGGTTTTTTGGGTATACAGTTGGGTATACAGTTGTAATACGTTGTATCAGTATCACCAGCCGCACGAGTGCGCGGCTCCCCCTGTATCGTAAAAACTTAGTGAAACGACAATTATGGGTGTCACGACGTGATACAAGTATACATCGTGTGCCCATGCCTATTTGACCAAAATTTGAGGAATAATTGGGCAACTTTTAGGTTATTTACGTACAGAACCGAGTATTTCTCATAGAAACAAATACTTAAATATATGTACCATCTATTTATGGTTAAGTTAGTATAAGCACAAGAACAAAGAAACAGTCCACAATTCATTAATGATTAATGATCATTTATTGCGAAAATTGTGTTAAAATCAAAAGAAATGAAATTGGAAATTATAAATAAAAAGTAAAAAGTAGAATTTGCACTTTAAAAACAGTTCTGTGCACTGCCGGGAGTACTTCACCGATCGGGGGCCTATAATTAAATATCATACAGGATGTTAGTGCGCACACAATGTAACCCAGGTCCAATTTCCATGTGTGATAAACTTGCAGCGCGCGTCGCAACTGCCAACCAGTTATTGGGTCATGCTCTTAGCGGCGCTTACGCGACAGAGTCTAGCGAGCATGCCACTGAGTTGGAGGAGGGAGTTGACTCCTTGTGTGATCCGGAGGTGAGTGTAACCTATTTCCTTGAGGAAGAGCAGCTTCTTGTACTCCGGCATGTCAAATGTCTGGCACACCTGCCAGGCAAACATTCATTTTAAATTACATTTTCAAAAACGAACGCAGTATAATACATAATAGAGTTTTGTAAACAATTTCCAACGGCAGCGAAGATTTATAATTTTAACAGTAGAACTACCTTTCTAACGTTATTAATAATATCTTCAGGAGAATAACCCAGCTTCCACAAAGAGTGGAGTATCTTATAGGCCTCGTCTATATCTTCCGACGTGCAGTGTTTGATCATATCTTTTACAAGAAGGGGATGAGGTTCGTCACAAACTTTGAAAACATTTGCACTGTTAACTATCCCGTAACCCTGCAAGTAAGATTCATTAAAAAATTATAAATATTCCCACAGCATACACGAGGTATGATGACGTATGCTGGAGTGTGATGACGTCATGATTCAATAATGTGAGCGACAATACAAGTAACCTGATGTGTGGACTGTAGGTTATTTATAGCCTGTCGCATGTCACCCTGAGCGGTGAAGATGACTGCTTCTAAACCGTCATCTGTCTTAACCACACTCTCAGCTTCACAGATATCCAGCAACCTCCTCAGCACTTGAGCGTCTGTTATTCTCGAGTATCTGAAAAAAGCAATCACTATTATAATTAGCGATAATTATCGATATTTCGGTTTAAAAAAATTCTCATCTCACAAAAGCTATGCATTGTAGGTTTAGCAATTTCAGTTATATTCTACTAGTAATAGCAATAATTAGTAAATCTAATATGTGCACAATCAGTGGTTATGCATTATATTATTATTACCTGAGCATTGTACATCTCGACTGTATGGGTTCTATAATTTTATCAGAACTATTGCACGCCAGCGCAAACCGAGTAGTTTTGGAGTATATTTCCATAGTTCTTCGGAGGGCTTCCTGGGCTGCAGATGTCATGGAATCTGCTTCGTCTAGAATCACTATCTTGTGACGACCTGCAGATAAGAACAGTTTAGGGGTCCTTCACAATATTACGTAATTTTATACAACGAAGACGAAGAATGAATCGAGGGGAATGATGCACATTGCAAAGCATTACTACTAACTTACTAAGAAGAGAGAAACTGACCTGGTGGGAGTGTAACTTTCTTCTGAGCGAACATTTTAATCCGGTTCCTGACCACATCAATCCCTCTCTCATTCGACGCGTTCAGTTCCAAAACACCTTCTTTCATTGCCGGCCCTGCAATAGTTCTTATAACCAGAGTTGTGGCAAATTTACTTTAAATTTCCGTTTTTACGGCCCAGTTTTAATTGTCTCGAAAAAAAAACAATTAAAAATATTATAAGGGAAAAATTAACAAAAGAGGCGCCAGTACCAAGAGATAAACCCTTTCCGCAATCCAGGTCCTTGTATAAGAAGGTAAAGTATTATTAGTAAAATAACCTACCGAGAAGAGCTCTAGCAAGGCAGAGTATAGTGGTAGTTTTACCAATACCAGGTGAGCCGGCTATAATGATATTTGGAAGGTTACCCTGCTCTGAAAATACTTGTAATCTCTTTATTGTCTCTTCATTTCCCACTATTTCCGGAAGGTATCTGAGAGATCCAAGTAACAGTCGGGGTAAACAATTTGAAATAGAAATAAATCTGCATCGTTCACATATATATATGTAATAACTTTTTGAAAAATGTTTACCCCTCCCCCCTTCCGTAATCAGTTTTACACATAGCTATTGTGCCAAAATTACACGTAATCATTTGAAAACCCCCCTCCCCTGATTCCGTAATATGTGAACGACCCCTAATATTCGAATAAAGTTTGAATGCAAACGAGGCTTCAAAATACCATTCAGTAAGGCGAGCACCTAAGTGTGGTGAGTAACTAGTTAAATAAGTTTACCGAGGTCTGTGTTTTTCTATCCAGGGAAGTTCGTATCTGGGTTTACTTTTCTTGTGAGGAGGAAATGTGTCTGTCTTCATCTCCACATCAGTAACCATCATGCTATGTTATCTAGAGGGGACTTAGTGAGGGGAATAGTTAACTTGATATGTATATGTATTGTGCGATAACATTCAGTTTACTACTCATTTTGCTGAATTAGTTGCCTTTTAAATAAAAACGCTGGATTTAAACAAAATAAATTAAATGCATATACCAAACTGAAAAATACATACAAAACCAATATAACGTTATTGTAAAGTGTAAATTAAACCAATTTTGAAGGCAGAGTTATTGGATAGAACACATAATTTAAATGAAGCTACAAGATCGTAACTGATGTCTACTTCAGATTTAAATCAGCGGTGGCATTGTATTTGAAGACTGTGGCAGAATATAGGCTGGTGAGATAACGATGATTTTTAAATCTCATAACTGTCGGGTACTGAGATAAGATAATCTGCTTGGCTTCCTTTCTGCGGTTCAGCTGAATTAAACTGAGCGCTGCGTACAACCTGAGGGGGGTTACTGATTGAGAGAAAAACTTTTTCCCTGGTCTGAAACATTATATAACTGCGATTATAACCAATAGGTTTTAAACAAAGAACGTTCCATCCGATTTTACCAAGGCCATTTTTATCCGACTTTTACAAGTTCGTGTGCACTATACATTGAAGGGTGGGGATGTTTTATATTTCCAGATATTTTAAAACATTTTGATGTTTAACATACATTGTTAAAAGCATTTGCATACTCACTACTAAGGTGGCTCAACAACTAAATAAATGATTTGCGCGCGAAGAATCAAATTTGCGCGAAGAGTTCTATAAAATATTAGCCGCGTCCCACAAATTCTGATTCAGAAGACCTTTTTCCCGTGTTGTTGAGAAAACATCGCCTCCGTGTTGTAGTAATAATAAATCCCAGACTACTTATTAACAGAGCAAACCAGCAAGTAGACATGAGCTCAGGAACTGAAGTTTATGACGAGACTGAGTTTGCTGAACCTGAAACAGTGAAGCACTGCTCTGCTGCGAACTGGGACGAGTCACCCTAGCGCACTCCAACCGCCTGCAATGAGAAAACAAATAATCAACTAATAATCTGAATTTAGTAGGTTTTAAATTATTTAGGTAGCATCACTGTGTCGAGTAAGCCGTTACATAGCATAATGAAGATTTCACCACAATAATCTAAATCTAATCCAACATCTAGTATCTTACCCCCAAGTGTAGATAACCAGTTTAGCAGCTCGGAAGTAGCGAGATGAATGTTCTGGAGGTGCGATATCTTAGACATCCAGTTATAATCCCCCTCCCTCAAATGAGAACACTTCGTTTTAATCTTCCAGTTTGAGAACACTTCATCTCCAGAGGAATGTTCCTTGTTGAGTCGGGTCTGCACCAAGTTATTGATAAAGTGAGTGTTGTTGGTAGATTCCAGAAGTGAGGCTAGTTTGTTGATGTACTTCTGGCAAGTGTAAAGGGTGGTGTATGTTCTGGTGTGTTTATCGCAAGATCCGGTCAGTTGGAGAGAGGATAACTTTATACTACATTCCATCCAATACTAGAGAAAGAAATGTTGTGTAAGGGGCCATCTACTTAGGACGTCCAGGGGGTTGTTTTGGAATTTCGGAAAAATCCAGACAGGGGGAGGGGGTGGTTTCTGAAAATCCGGACGTCCGGAAATTTTTGCAGAATTAACGAAAAAGTCCCATTTATTTCAAATCTTTGACACTAATTACTCTGTAAGTTTAGATCCCTGTATTTTGAACGAGTACTTAAATGTCCTTAAATGTAACTGTGCTAAACTTTTCGACACTAAAGTATTATCGACACATTTTATTAACAATGAACTTGAGTTTGTTTTATTTGTACTCTTAAAAGAAGCTGGAAATCCGGACGTCCGAGTGGTTTTGAAAATTCGGACACACCCGGACAGGGGGAGGGGGTGGTCTGAAAATCTGCGATTTTGGCGGACGTTCTAAGTAGATGGCCCCTAAATAGATTAAACAGGTGCAAGATGAATAACGCAATGAAACAAACCATCGTTATTAGGTGATAAAAAATTGCAGAAAAACAAATAAAAGGAAAATAAAATTTTTATATATTTTTTAAAATGTATAAAAGAGACAGACCCAAACACGCCCAAAAGTAGAATTAATAAATAAGTACATTGTATTACAGCTAATAAAAATTTAAACAACAAGACAGAAACTACAAATAAAAAAGACAGAAACTACTAATAAAAATAAAAATTTAATATAGTGTAAAAGATAACGTCTCGGTTGATTTTGTATAGACCGCTACTGGACAATAGTTTCAAGTAAGTCCTTTCATTTCTCAGTTTCACGGCTTCTTTAAATAAAAGGAAGGTCAACCTCTCTTTTTTCCGCTCCCAGCACTTTCTTATATTTCAGTTGATGTGGTAGATGATGTTATAGAGCAGATAAATTCCTGGAGAGATTTCTGACTGTAGATGTAACTTAGAGACAAAGTAAGAAATACATTTGTACATATTGTATAGTGTATAGTGTATACTTCGTATTCTTTATTAACCCAAGAGCACATATGAATATCTATCATGCAGAAGATTGTTCATTTGTTTCAGTTGAGTGTAGTTCTTTCTCGGAGACGCCTTCTTTGTATCATTCCAAGAATAGTTTTTTCGGAGTACAAAGGAGTTGGTAACTTACCAGTGGCTAACTCACCACCTGACTTGTTACCAGTTACTAACTCACCCTCTGGCACATCATAGTAAACTACAAGTGCTATATAGCCCAGTGTAGCAATAGAAGCCCCACCCCAATGCACATGGTTACTATGGTACACTGGTTTACCTGCCCATGAAACATAAACCACTCCGCTCCTCTTCCCGGAAGACTTTCTGTTGTAATCTCTTCTGAGGACAAAGTGCATCTTTTGGGCAGTCATAATTTCCGGGTGGAAATGAATGTCTTCGGGGTAATCAGCAGTTTGTGTGCAGAGGCCAATATCAAAACTATCCAACTCGCCTATTGGAGTAACATTGATAATAAACCCACATTGACTTGGATTAGGACACGTGGTTACACTAGGATGTTTCCAGTAGAATTTGTAGATTCGTTTACACGAAGTCTGCACCTCGGATGCTAGGAATTCTCCCATGCGAATAGTATCAGGGATTACAGAATATTTCCTGCTAGCACGTTCTTGAATCTGTCCTCTGTTACATACTAATATGACGGAATCCTTCTCCGACACTAAGTCATCACATTGTTTAATTAAAGCTAATAATGAAATATCAGGATAATTTTTAACAAATTTATCACTAGTACGACTTTGTATTTCAGCATTCAAGTTTGCACGAACCGTGTGATAGTCAAATAAATTCGGATTAACACGCTTCCATCCCCGATTACGTTTTAATTCAACAAGTTTGGCAATAATACACTCTAAATCAGATCTCCCAATTTCAGCATCTGATATTTTGACACTTCCATACAGTGCAATTAATTCTATCACCATGTACAGATTCTTGAAGACGCGTGATGTAGAAGCAGCTGTAAGAATATCTTCAATGTAGAAAAATGGACCATGGCCATACCTACGGAGATCAACATGAACACCATGTCTATTTAGGGCAGTGAAATTCATAGAGTCAAGAGATGAAAACAGATTTGGAATGCTAGCTGGATCATGGAGGTCATCAACAATGTTACCATCGCAAATCAAGTTTCTTTGAGGAGATGGATCTACAGAAACTGTAATTGCATAAGATTTATCAGGAATTTGTGTAGCTGGTAATTTGACACTTGTATTACATTTCATGGACACAAACTTTGATGTCAGATTCGGCTTATGTGCAAGCAATCTTTTCTTAGCATTGGCCCCCAAATCAAGGACTTTTGCAAGATTTTCAAATTCTTGCTGAGTTTTGACAATAAAGTTATTACCGAACAGTTGGTTCACAGTATCGCTATCAGATTCCATACAATTATCCAGATTTATAGCTTTGAGAATGTGAGCTGAGTTTTCATCGAGGTGGTAACGTTGTTTGATAAGATTTTCCTGAACAATCTTTAACAAAATTCCATCGTACCCTTTAGCAATCTCAAGCAAAGCATTCAATTGATCAACTGATAGATACAGGTATGTGGCAGAATACTTCTGAATGAAATTTCGTTTCTCATATGCTCTCATTACCGACATCTTCTCTTGTACCTTTAACTTGTACTTTTGTCTGTATCGCTTCGGGGCACACAATGCTTCATCAAAAGAGAACTTCAAAATCTTGAATTTTTCATCAAGGTTCTTGTTGCTGACTGAAATGGAATCTATTTCTTGCATGTAGAATCTGTCACATTGTTGAATGACCCAGTCAACTAAAAACTTGTCAGCTAGTTCACATAGTTCTCTAAAGAGTCATGGTTGATATAAACCTTCCCAGAGTACAGGCACTTGACAAAGATATCAACACTGCTCTTGGTAAAGCTGGTTACATCAACTGAATTTAGCAATTGTTTGAAAAATATATCGTAAAACACAGCACCGTTGTAAGATAGGATGAGAGAGTTTGCTCTCACAACTTCTTGTCAGCCACCAGTAGTTCTATGTTATTGTGAACAGGACATTGCAAATTTTCAACTCCAAAATCCATTGGAACCTTCACTTTGTTCATGATCACAAGGGATTGTAGTTTGTGTAATAGGCTGTACTAGTCTTCTCAACTCACAATAAAGCCATTTTCTAGTCAGCTTGCCATAATCTTGCCTGAATAGATTTTGTAGTTATTTGAAGTCCTGTAAATGATCATAATCTAGAAGGGTCATCACATATAGCTTTCAATTAGGGTAATTTCTGATCATTATAGCTGTATAATTTGGCAACTTGGAAGGTCATCTAGAATCAATCAACTTTGTGGATCAAGGAGTTAATTACTGTTGAACCATATCCATTATATTTTAAAAAGCAGTGTTATAATAGAATACGCAATATTATTACTGGCACACTGCTTAGAAGCTAGAATCGATCAATTTCCAATTAACTAAACAAAAGATAATGAAAATATATCATTTCAGAGGCACTTAGACAAATTTCATCACAATTTGTAATAATAATGTTTTTTTCATATTTCAAGAAAATATTATAAGATTATTTTAAAGGTTACATAAAAATGTGACACTCAATAGAAATATGATAAAATTAAATAACAAAGAATTGATATTATAGAGTGAGGAAAGTCAAACAAAAAACTAAATTTTGGCTGTAAATGTGTGCAATCGTAAAATTTTAACAATAAAATTTACCACATCAACGAATTACTTGTATTAACAAAACAATACTGCTAGATAGTTCAAGGGGGCTATATTTATGAGTCGCATTTGAACTTGATTTCTCTTGGAGAATTTCTCTTTAGACTCTTAACTTGCAAACAAATTGAAGCAGCAAACTTTAGGCTAGAAACTTTACTGCTAGAGTTATCTTCTGAACATCATGGTAATTCAATAAAGTCACAATTTATTTTCATCCTTAGCTTCATCAGTTTCATTCTCCATGAACCAACTGAAAATATAATCCATAGCATAATGTGATGTCCAGGGGTGTTTTGTAGAGCCTGCTGATCTCATCTCACAACCAAACCCGTCTCCCAAATGTTTATCAACAGGTTTTGAGGATGATACCCAATTAATGCATGGGATAGAATCACACGGTATCTTTCCCATGTGTACACTATCAGTGAATGCGATCTTTGAAACGATATCTTTAAAATTGGAATTATTCTTTATTAGCTTCTGCACAACAACCCCACCAAAACTGTGTGTCACAATAAAGACACTCTTTTCTAGAACTCCACTTATCATGTCATCCCAAACAGTTTGAGCATGTTCGAATGGTGTACGAGATCCATTCATTTCATAACCACATTCATTGGTATTTAAAGCCAGGACATCAAATTCATTGTCTGCAGCCCACTGAATGTATGGTAGCATTGAACCGGGATAGAGATTATCATTCATAATGATACTTCTTGCCCACTGACCAGCTTTGACAGCTCCACTGCCATTTATAAGGACAAGCTTCTTATTTGCAGAGCTTTGGAACTCATTTGACACAAAGACAAATGATGATGGGTCTGCTTCTTCTATCCCAATTGGAATGTGTATCCGTCGCAGTCCATATTTTTCTTCCATGACTGTGTAGATGTATTCAGTAACAGCATCTCCAATTTGTTCATACCTGGATTGATTATCAGAATGGTCATCTGATACAGCAAACTGAAACTTTGAATCATGCTCATCAAGAAATTCTCCTGACTCTGTGAAGTGAAATCCAGTGTCTCCAACTTTTTCCACTATCACGGAGGTCTCTGCTTCTTTGAGAGACAATTTCTTGTTTTCCTCCTTCACTTCTTCGAGAGACAATTTCTTATTTTCCTCATCCACTTCTTCGAGAGACAATTTCTTATCTTTCTCCTCCACTTCTACAAAAGACATTTTGTTATCTTCCTCCTCCATTTCTACGTAAGACATTTTGTTCTCTTCCTCCTCCACTTCAAGGAGAGACATTTTGTTATCTTCCTCTTTGATGCTGGTTTCTTCTTTATTGTCGTCCATGGTACTGTAGAGTAGGCTACTTAAGTATATTGCACTGAAGATGCTACCGAAAATTGCAAAGACGTATTTCATTGTAGATTACCATTGGGAAACAGATTACTCAGTTTCTAAACAATAAACTGTATATCAAATATTAAGTCAAGGTTTCGATAAAAATTGTTGTAAATTTAATGAATTTTGACTAAATAAACGTCAGCTAAAATCTTGGTTAACATTATATAAACTATCTTCGAGAACTTTCTGCCTAAATCTCAAAAGTATTAAAGCAGACAAATGGACTAGGTGGCCTAGTGGTTAGAGCATCGAATTCCAGTGTCACCTAGTCTAGGGAGTAGCTAAGGATCCATTGGATCTATGCGATGACTCTAATATCCAACAAAGTGTGGTCTTACGTAAAATCGAAGACATCAAGGTAAAGAATTTTTTGAAAACTGGCCACGGGCCTAAATATTACATATCAATCAATTACAATTCATTAACATTACCAATGATAATGATATATTCAAGAAAGTATTCTCTATCCAAAGGGCTCAATATTTAAATCTAAATCTTCAATATTGTCTGGTTTATATCGCAACTTGGGCCCTCTGTCCCCCCTTATCGAAATAACCGTTGTCTTTAATACCTCAAAGCGCAAGCGCTTTCTAAGATATAGGTAAGATCAAGGTAAAGAATACCTAAATTTGTGAGTTTAAATGATGTTGTTAAAAAAAAAGGGGGGACCCCCAACCCATGTAGCTGAGACACCTCACAGCAAGTAGACCAAAGTGGCTCTTGCTTGTGAAAGGTGCGTCAACTACCCGCCGAAGCGGTGGGTTGGGAGTCCCCCCTGGGATCATTTCGTCCGTAAAATTATATACAACATAAATGATGTTGTTTGCTTGTATGTTTATAATCTACCAAGATGCGTGCGGAGTTGGGCTCAAATTGTTGGAACAAATATTTTACGAGTATCACCGGTTATTTGTCTGCAAGAGCATAGTATAGCCCCGAAGACAAGGCAGATCTGTTAAAATGTTTGCAAACACAAATCCCAACACAACTTATTTATTTATTGTATATTTTGTTTATAAACAAAATGGTGTACACAGAAAAATGTATATATAAAATATATAGACTTGGGTCGCTTACCCATTGTAACTGTTATTTCACACTTACTACGAAAAGTTGTATTATACACCAGGTTTAAAAATTTTATGCCTGAAAGATTAAAAACAAATAATTGTTTGCTATTATATTTTTGATATAATAGCAAACAAAAACTTAAAACTTCGGGTTACTAAACTTGTTGTGAACAATAGTAACAGCTTAAAAGAGGCCGATATCAAAAATAGTTAATATTTATTTGGCTTACGTAAACTATTGTTTGTACTGTATATTTTGTTGTTTTATTGTTATTGTATCAACTTTGGCCAATTTTGACTGTAGCTACACAACAATCAACAATCTGCAATCAGCAATTGCACAGTGGTTACAGTAAACGTGGGAAAATAAATTAATTGACTGACGATGACAGTTTGTTTCTGCTCGTAGTTGCGCTATGATCTCGTCGCATCACGTAGAGTACCAAGCATGCGCGGCGCGTCTAAGTCCTATACTAAAAATATGGATATTAGTTGGAGGACTTCGCCGCTTCGACGCGCCGCGCAAACTAGCATTCTTGCTTCGCATCGAAGCAAGATCGTCGACGATCGTTGCTCTGCTTCGCAGAGCAACGATCTCGACGGATTGACATCGTCAATCAAGGATATTAGAAAACCAAGCGGATTTTAACTGATAAAATTGATTCAATTTTTAAATTGCGTGGAGTGGTTGACGAATGTTTCACCTTACCATGTGCTTTCGCGCCTCCGCTGCCGCGTTACTGTCCTGTGTACTGCAAGCGTTCACATAGCCATGTGTATACGCGTACTGCGTGACGCGCTTGTTTCACAAGTTGAATATATACTTTGCCGCCTACGGCGGTCGCGCGCTACTGCAAGCGAAAGGTTACCTGAGGACCCCAGGCTATTATGTTCATTAATAAAGATTTGGCGGAATGACAGGCTGAGCGCGGCCCAGTAAGCGAGAGGGCTCTGGTTAGAGCACCTGCAAGCGCAAAGTAGGGCAAAAGGTTACTGGGCCGCGCTCAGCCTGTCATTCCGCCTAATCTCTATTCGGTTTACAACATTAAAGCCTGGGGTCCTCAGGTAAGGCAGAAGGGCTCTGGATAGAGCAAAACGGATGTTACTAGTCTAAATATCTTCGAAGTAGAGCCTTTTTGCCCGCGAAGCAAGTGATACGAAGTAGCGTGCGCAAGCCGACTAGACCATTATTAATAATCGACAGGCCGTGTACAATAAAAACTACGAATCACAAATCCTGTCATGTCATTGGTTATATGTGATATGGCAAACATTACATTATCAAAAAACTCGAACGCTGCACGTCTGTGACGATTTTTTCCGTTCACCCTTTTCTAAAAAGGCAATAGTGAAAAGTTACGAATGGACGTTTTTGCAGAAAAACGTGGATTTTGGAGATAGCGGTAGGCGGGTCTGAATATGTCGTCAGTCCTTCCGTTAGTTACCATGACAACCAGCGCGCAGTGAAGCGCGCGAGTATTGCTTGCGCTGTGGAGATGTGATGTATATAGCTAGCATGTCAATGAATGCGCGGCGCGAGAGAATTTTAATGTATATTATGTAATGTATAGCATGAGGTATTAAGCCCAATTTGTACGTGGTATGCGTGTATACTGTATAGTGTACTGATATGTATCAATATTATTATTATGAAGTGAGCTGATTGGAGCCTATATTTATAGTTATAGTGAACGGAAATCTAGCGTCCGCCAAAACGAAATAACGGGCGCAATTCTTGTTTGGTTACCTGACCAGGCCAGGGGACTAATTTGTCTTACAACAACATAATAACAACATACATATAAATAGCTGTTTAATTTTATGTTGGGCGCGCGCTTCAATCATCATATTAAGTACGTGTATATAATCGCGCCGGAACCAGATTAAATTGAGCTTCGCGCCCTACATATCAGACATCACATGGTTTCTTATGTGGTACCACTTTTCGGGTTCAATGAGACAGGACCATGTTACGTGTACGGTGTATAACAGAGAACATGCAGACAGTGCAGTGTAGAGGACGGAGCTGACTATTTCTGGTGTAGAAACACGCAAATAAGTCGGTCCCTACCATATTAAATAGTGATATCCATAAATCCATTCGTCAGGTACTTGTCAATATGATCGAGATCCATATTATAAATAAAACAATTGAAATTTTTCATTGAGATTGTAAAATGTACAAATTGTATCTAACAAGCAATTAAATTCTGACGCAAAGAACTATTAAACCAGAAAAATGTTTTATTAATCCAGAAAAGTGTATTAATTTTACTTCTTTATCAATTTCGATGTCATTATTTCAATTCGTTTCAAAATTCATAATTATTTTTAGCTTTAAATAGTCTTTTAAACCCACAAAATAACAAAGCAGGATAAGTGATCAAAGTAAGTGGTGCAAAATCCAGACGAATATAAAAAATGACCAGAACCACTTAAAACGCTCTTAAATATTACACTACAGAAAAATCTTGAAATCATATCTTTGACATTCGAAAAGTATCAGAATAAAGCTAAGATTGAATTACGAAGGATAAACCAGAAAGCGCCTCAGACCCCAGTGCTTAGTGAGAAGAAGTAGACATATAGCAGGAATGTAGGGTACATTAGTAAAATCTTCTTCTGCCCCAGCTCCTGATCAACTAGTAGTGATCCAGCACTGTAGGATGCCCACACTACTCCTATTATCTGTAATATATTACATTTTATTATCGGGCTGGAGAGGTGATAGATGTCATTCATCCGAAATTTTAAATTGTGTATCATGGGGTATCATGTTTCTTGATGAATAAAATGTGGTAAAATTTCTTGAAATATGGCCGTTAAACGGTTTTTGGCTTGACGCAGTTCATAATTTCCGTGATTTTCGGCATTTCTGCCTAGGAAGGTCGTAGAAACTATTTGGATACACAAAATTGTACCTAATGGTCACATTTATATAAAACTAATGAAGCAATATATACCTTTAAATGTTCATTTGATAGTGTGTAATATATAGTGCGCCACTGTTATTTGTTTTGAAACTTCCCGCCAGCCAGTCTGAGGTGACTCGCAGTTTGTGTTGATAATAGCTTCGCTCTCTTGCGGGAAATATCTGCTAATTATCAGCTCTCAGTGTTGACGAGTTGTAGTGCATATAATTCCCGGAAAATATTATAACAAATAGTTCGAGGAAGCGATCGCGATGTAACTGAGTCGATATATTTTAATATTACCGTGGGGTGGCCATTGTCACCATTCATTACAGCCCAGGAGTTTTACTGCCTCTCATTATGGCAAACAATTGATACTCCATACGTTTTTTGAATGAAATATAATAAACAGACAGTCGATGCCTTTTACTTGCCTCACAGAGGTTCAGTCGGTAACTGCAATTACATTTACGAAAGCTGACAACTGACGTAATTAATTTTCCTCCTCCAGGACCGAAGTTTATATCATTTGTCTTAGAATTGTTTTTTCGGTTTCGAGTAGAAACATCTTGCCGCAAATTCAATGCCGAAATTCGGAATTCGCGGAGCCTGTGAGCGAAATTAAATGGTTTTTATCTAAACAGCTGACTTTTAAAAAATTTCGATTGTAGACTTTCAGAATAATCAAGGTTAACGAATAACTGCTGATTAATTAACTCTTGATATTTGGTTAATTATCGTGCTGGAATGCTTCCAATGCAATACATAGTCTAGCGAGCCGGATTTTTAAAATGCACAGTCTTAATCGGTCTTTGCAATATGTACTCAGTTCTTGTTCGACAATTTTTTTCCTGATCCACGACTCTTCTGCCGTAGGAACAAAAGCGTCAAGGACTAGGCTAGGGTTGGCGAAAGAGATGTTTCTTGCAATTCATTCAATTTCATACTGGATAAAACCATTATACCATGAATACCGGACCTAAAATAATTTGACATTGGGTCCGGGCCAAATTTTTGCCCGCAGCCCGACCACTGACCAGTACCCCACTTCATGATTATAATTGATTTCGCTGGATATTGGTATGTAATCCCTGGATTGAGATATGTATTATGTTGGCCGCAGCTTAATTTAGCTCATTTCTTATAATACGCAGTGGTTTGGTTCCCACTTCAGGATGACCCCACATTATTTTTGCAGTCACTTAGCAGATTTTCCCATTATACAATAATGCAAGTCATTGCCTCGTTGTTTTTATAATCAAGTGGTTACTGGCTAGATCTTTTGTTATTACAGCTGCCTCGAGATCTTATCTGGGGCACTAATACTAGAACATTATAACTGTAATCCTAGAACCTCACATTAAGATTACTTTGCCGAATAGCAGACGTTTTCGCTTGATATTGGACCTATAAGTCGAATTATATTATATTCGAAACAGCACGAGATGTAACCACGATTACTTTAAATAAGATTTGCCAGCTATTGTATATATTGGATATTCATAGATATCTCTGGCAACCTCTTTCGGAATTGGCTGACCGCAGAGGCAAGCAGAGCATCCTCAATCCTCACGTATCCTCTCGTACACCCATAAGTAAGAATCCGTTCACGTTAGCCAGATATATTGGTTATTTAGATCCCCACAGAGACTTGCCCTCAACCGGTTATCTGAACCTATTATGTTACCTGAGTGCCCTCAGTCGAATTTCGAACCCTGCTATTCGACCAAGTAAGCATAATGTGAAGTTCTAGGATTACAATGCTCTAGTATTAGTGCCCCAGATAAGATCTCGAGGCAGCTGTAATAAGAAAAAGGATAGCCTGTAACGACTTAATTATAAAAAACAACGACAATTTGACCCAGAACCAGTGCTGAATTATTTTAGGTCCGGTATTCTTGGTATCATCACATTTTGGCTTACTTTGATCGAGCATGATCCTTGCCAAACAATTTGGTTCGTTTTTATCATGCAGTGGTTATCTTCTAATCACTCCGTCTTCGAGTATTTTTTTCAATTTAAAATTTGAAAAAAAAAAAGAGAGGTTGGGCCAAGATAGCCTACGAGAGGATAGCATTGAGATGCTCTGCCTACCTCTGGGGTGTGGCAACCCTGGGGAAGGTTGCCAGTGAAATCAGGGTGAATGGTTGAGGATGGTGTAAAAAGTGACATGACTCAAGAATCTTGAGTCAAGATGTTACGCTAAGTGCCAGCTGGGTTTGGAAAAGCTGAATGAGACGAGACAGGTTATGAGTTAATACTTTAATACTCCAAAGTCACCCCGGTCTGATCCAGCTCTTCCGGCACAATTAGGCGTTTGGTGTGGTTTGCGATCCAACCAATCGTGGTGATGTGTTGGAGTATCTTCGAGTATATAATGTGCATGAGTCGGCAACTGTGAACAATTTGCTGTTAGCAAAAGACCCTTCGACCTTATGAAACCGAAATTTTGAATTAAGTAAGACGAATACATGCTGTGGGCCTGGCCATTACCAGAGATTGAGAGAGATGTCCAATAAATTAGATCATTCTCCAACTTTTTAGGTGTTTCTGGACACAAAGTAAGTCATCTTGCATATTGGAACAAATGCTATCATGTTGCACATGAGTCTTTAGGAACTTTCTAGTTACCAGTCCAACAGCCCATTGCATTTGTGAGTATTTTCATCGTTCGCTCGGCAAAAAATCCGTTTTTCAGCCATATTTCCGAAAATTAACATTTAAAGGTATATTGCTGCATTAGTTGTATATAAATATGACCATTAGGTCCAATTTGGTGTATCCAAATAGTTTCTACGACCTTCCTTGGCCGAAATACAAAAATCCGAGTGACCGCAAAACCCTAGAAAAGGGTGTGGCCGAAAACGCCCTCATTGCATTTAGTACAAAAATGCAATGAAGGCCAAATGTTTTAAGCATCATTTAGAGAGGTGATAACCGTCGAGAAATCGCTTTTAACACGAAAAGCTAACACTTAAAAAATATTAGTATTATTTATATTATAATATATTAAATACATACTCTTATCATACACGTTGTGAGACATGAAACTATTCGTCTGATATTTCACAGCGTTAATTAATCTTATATAGATGTAAAGATACTAATCATACGTTTACTCGTTTAGATAGGTTTTGCTGCCATCCCAACAAATAAGCTTCAAAATTAGGAACTTTTGGATTTAAGAAATTTGAGATACCGCGTGGTATGCAGTGTCACTTATTGCTTGCTCCTTCATAAAGATGAAACTGTCAGATACAACTGATCTATTAATAACTACTCGTAAAACGTCAGCCAACATGTACTAAAGTCTAAATATTCAGTTCAGAGATGTCACGTGTTTTAGCCATGTCACGTGTTTTAGCCATGTCACGTGTTTTAGAACTGTCACGTGTTTTAGAACTGTAGTTCAAAAAATATCGAATATAATGATCGACTCGCTGAATAGTCACTAAATGTGAGACACATAACGCACCCATATAGTGTTACATAAAGCTAAGGTCCGCGACAATGTTTGAGTAGCATGTATCACGTGATGTCTTGGTGCCCGGTGCATCCATTCTATATGTACTGTGAGTAGGAATGCAGCTTTACTCGTGATTTAAACGGAACTTACACTGAAGCCACGTAATATACATTATACAGTAAACCTTTTTATTAGGTAGTGCTAAGTACCAACCATTTTTACGTGCGGTTGTGAGTTTTGCAACTATTGTTACTAAATGTTCCTTACTGTTTTATTTGTGCTGCTTTGTTCAAGTAAGTTATCTTATTCTTAGCAATTTCATTTTCAATTTCATTGATCAAAATCTAACCCGCTTTTACACGAAAAGGAAGATACGGCCGTCCAAGCTGTGGGGCCCCCATATATTCAAGGTGGGCGTAAAGAATTGGTTTACCTTATCGGACCTTATTTGGACGGAAATTACATGAACGGACATAATTGTGAACGGACATTAATATGAACGCTCGAAGGCATTCAAAACCATCAAAAATCTGAATTTTTTTCAATTTTTTGACGTTTTTTTAATTTCAGCAAAATTATGATTTTTTAATCCATTTTTATACAGTAAGTAAGAAAAGCAGTCATTAAGCAGTAAAAATGTTAAAATATGTGTACATGATCAGTGTCTAATATCACATATCATATTCATTAAATGGGTTTTCGTGCATGAAATAGTCCATGCTTAAACAAGCATCAGTGATTTCTAGCTTTGTGGAAATCTTTTTTTATCAAACTACCCCGGTCCTGCATTTCAGTGTTAACTTTTACAAGCCATTCGGCGTGAAGTGGTTTTATCTTAGACAACTTTAGGTTAACCTTAACATCACGTGGAGCTTTCTTAGCACTGTTTCATTACCTCCCCTCAGTAATATGAACTATAACAACGTCGGACAATGTCCTTGGCAACACGATTTACCGTAATATCTAGAGGCTGGAACAAGTTTGTCATGTTGGCGGGGACTAGCTCATGAACTATGTTGTTGAGTGCCATGATTTCGTTGACTTTTTCCGCCAAGTGACCCTTGAAAACATCATATACTAGTAAAGTTTTCTGTGCCTCCGGCAGACCAAGGAGAACCTTTCCGTCGTTAACTTACGGCACAATAAAGTTCTCATAGTGGTCATATTCTGGGTAACAAGTTCGAAATGGAAAAATTTTTGAAAAAATTTCAACGGACTTTAACTTGGACGGACATTAATTGAACGGACTTTATTTGAACGGACATTAAGATGAACGCTAGGGCCTTCAGCGTTCAAGTAATGTCCGTCCAAATAAGGTCCGATAAGGTAAAAGCTGGTCCCTCTGTTACCAATCGTGAATATTGGAGTCCAAATCTAGCCATTATTTTAATTGTGGCCCACTGCGCTCTGTATAACCCACATCAGTACCAGTAATATAGTCAGGATATAAGGTATTATTATACTATTTCACTATCATTTCAGGTAAAGTATTAGGAGAAGAAGAAGAAGACAAGAGACCACTGCTCGCCTGCAGCGATAACAGTGACATTACAATCGGGTTAAAACAAGGCACCACGAAATGGACCAACGATGGGCCATTATATTATACTTCACTAGCGATAGATAACCTGCAGAACGGCGCTACGGTAAGTGATTCAGTAAAACCGTGCCTTTTTATACCGTGCCTCTTTATACCGTGCCTTTTTATACTGTGCCTCACTATACCGTGCCTTTTTATACTGTGCCTCTTTATACCGTGCCTCTTTATACCGTGCCTCTTTATACCGTGCCTCTTTATACCGTGCCTCTTTATACAGTGCCTTTTTATACTGTGCCTCTTTATACCGTGCCTATCTATACCGTGCCTCTCTATACTGTGCCTCTTTATACCGTGCCTCTCTATACCGTGCCTTTTTATACTGTGCCTCTTTATACCGTGCCTTTTTATACTGTGCCTCTCTATACCGTGCCTATCTATACCGTGCCTCTCTATACCGTGCCTCTTTATACCATGCTTCTCTATACCGTGCCTCTCTATACTGTGCCTCTCTATACCGTGCCTCTTTATACCGTGAAAAATAAGTAAATTTTTTTAAATTAAAAAAGGAAACGCCTCTATAAACGCAGCCGAGAACCACAAAGAGGTATGTAGTGGAATGAAACTAAATATAATGTCAGGTATGTTTTAATCTGAAGACACCGCAAGGAAAAACAGAGAGGTACGCAGTAAAGTTAGAGGAAGTGTCAGGAGCCGCCAGATTTGAGGACCAGTATGATTTTGGTGTTCCCAATGTCACGGTAAGACATAAAACCCACTAATTGACACTAAAAACCCACAATTTATCACACAAGTTACAATGTATTCTTGTGTAAATTTGTATTGATCCCGGGATCAATGATCCCGTTTGATGCGACAAGGAAAAATGCTCTTATAAGGAAAGGAATTACTCAACGTTTCAATCTTACAACATCGTATTCATGATCTAAAAATATTTCTATCAAAAATTCAAAACGTAAAAAAACATAGATCTGAGGCAAAGGTAGTGTACGATTATTTACTTTTAATTGAGTAATACCTTACCAATAATTGAGTAATTCCTTTCCTGATAAGAGCATTTTTCCTTGTCGCATCAAACGGGATCAATACAAATTTACACAAGAATACATTGCAACCATGCTACTCATAAACAATATTCCAATCCGGATTTTACACAAGTTACAAAATTGGATATTATTCTGCCTCACATGTATTGTTATTGTGAGTACCACACATTTAATACTCTCAATAACCCACACCTGTTTGTTTCAGGCTAAATGCACGTGCAGTTGTTCAGATAACTCTAATATCTTGAAGGAGTGCAACGCAGAAGAATTAGGGTAGGCTGAAAATAATAACCTGATCTCAAGTAGAAGTAGACATTTTCTATTAAACACTTAATAAAATAAGATATAATTTTAAATTGTAGTTTATTTAAATTCTCACGAGTTATATCTGAATGAAATATAAAATAACCAGGTTTTGTGACGGATATGGATCAGATGCAAGGTGTGTTACTAAAAATGAAGAGACTGAAGTCAACAAAGGTAAGGATTTATTTTACTTGGTTTCATAATTAGTATGTTCCAGTTAATAGAGGTAGTAAAGTCAACAGAAATGTTTGGCACATAAAATAATACATCCCCCCTCCCCGGCCCCCCCTTACTGATCCCCTGCTACAGGTTGTACGGGTCTGCAGAAGGATTCTGATTTGTGTTGTGCAATACAGATGAAGAACTCTGATATAACAGAACGGTTCAAGGCCTTTAAAATCAGAGATCAGCAGCAGAGCTTTGTAAAACTGCAGCTGTATCCAAGTTACAGTGACCTTGCTATGAGCCCTCATGTCATTGGTAAGTTACAGCATGAGCAGTTTTTTAATCTTTAAATAATTAAAGTATAGTATTATAAATATTATTATGTATTATAAGTCTCAGAAAATGATGGTGTAATTATATGAGATTCCAAGTGACCGAATTACCAAAATAACATTAATAAATACTTGGCTTTATAGTTAGTTAACTACAAGGCATGTGAGGTTTGGTGTAATTTCAGATGATTTGGAAGAGACACGGCAAGTACAAGCTGATAACATCCAGTTTAAAGAAGTATCAGTGACCAGGGAGGGCAGCAGTGATAACCAGTTCTTAAACCCTACCAGCTGGTACATAGGTGAGTGGTACATAAAAGAGAACAACTTTAGTTCCTTGTTTAACTAGGGAGGGGCTATGTTTGGGATTCCCAACCACCCGGCCCCCACTCCCCAGCCCCTCCCTTCCCCTTTGAAGCTATGTTTGGTGTTGCCCCACTCCCCCTCTGCACTGAAGCTATGTTTGGGGTACCCCTCCCTCCCCCTCTGAAGCTATGTTTGGGGTACCCCTCCCTCCCCCTCTGAAGCTATGTTTGGGGTACCCCTCCCTCCCCTTCTGAAGCTATGTTTGGGGTACCACTCCCTCCCCCTCTGAAGCTATGTTTGTGGTACCCCTCCCTCCCCCTCTGAAGCTATGTTTGGGGTACCCCTCCCTCCCCTCTGAAGCTATGTTTGGGGTACCCCTCCCTCCCCCTCTGAAGCTATGTTTGTGGTACCCCTCCCTCCCCCTCTGAAGCTATGTTTGGGGTACCCCTCCCTCCCCCTCTGAAGCTATGTTTGGGGTACCCCTCCCTCCCCCTCTGAAGCTATGTTTGGGGTACCCCTCCCTCCCCCTCTGAAGCTATGTTTGGGGTACCCCTCCCTCCCCTCTGAAGCTATGTTTGTGGTACCCCTCCCTCCCCCTCTGAAGCTATGTTTGGGGTACCCCTCCCTCCCCCTCTGAAGCTATGTTTGGGGTACCCCTCCCTCCCCCTCTGAAGCTATGTTTGGGGTACCCCTCCCTCCCCCTCTGAAGCTATGTTTGGGGTACCCCTCCCTCCCCCTCTGAAGCTATGTTTGGGGTACCCCTCCCTCCCCTCTGAAGCTTTGTTTGGAATACCCAACACCCAGCCCAGGCTCTAATTTTCTCAATTAACCCAGGTACTAGCTTCCCCTACTCTCCTACTGTTTACGAGACATCAAAAGAAGTGAATGGGAAGAGCGATTATGATATTTCTAAAGTGGGGTGGGCTAAATTTGAGGATGGGTATGTTCGGATATCATGTGACCTATTGCACGTGACTGCTCACATGCACATTGCACGTGACTATTCACATTGCACGTGACTAATCACATTGCACGTGACTAATCACATTGCACGTGAATGCTCACATTGCACGTGCCTATTCACATTGCACGTGACTGCTCACATTGCACGTGACCATTTCCATAACTATGTCAGAAATACTTGAAATACTTGAAATACATCTAATATTCTTAGTTACTTCTAGTTGATACGGATACCTGTTCAGGGCGTATCAAGTAGGGCAGGACAGGATACCAGACAGTAAGATAATAGACGCTTTCACAGCGACAGTGTCAGACTGTGGCAACAGTGATATTACCTCTGCATTCGACTCGATACATTTGGTAGATTTAAAAAATACTTTGAAGGAGTTGAAGTCCAAACATAGTACTTATGTTGAAAAGGTGAGTTGTAGTTTAACAAATCAAAATCTAGAAAGTGAACAATTATTTCAGATCTTGTTATAATGACATCTATATAAATCAGTTTTTGTAAAACTTCTGCACATTTATAAATATATTGTGTATCTATATTTCCTGTTATTCTGGATGATCCTCTGCTAAAGTTTCTATGATTCAGATTTCATGGGAAAATTCCGGACATCTAAACCACGGTAAACTCGACTGGACCTACAAAAATTCGGCATACAAAATTGATCTGAAATTTAAGCTCGAAGGTAAATTTGTATATTTTATTGTTTGATTCCAATTCGTAGTTTTCACTTTGTAGTATAGCTTTGTGGTGATCTTAAAATTATTTTAAGTACACTAAACATCCTTTCTTCAGGAAAAAACGACGATTTCGAAGTTGAAAGGGTATGCAAATAGACAATGTCACCTCATAAAAGTATAAATAGTGTGTTTTACTAAATCAGAATAATTATTTTAAAATATATGACCATTATCTACAGGTAAAGTGTATTACAATAACTAACAGCTTATCCCTTCAGATATCAGTTGGGGCGGAGATTACTGATTTCACAGCGCAAGTAGTGGTTACAGAACACGGAGAAGCTTACATACAGTATAACTTGACTGAGAGCTGGGGTGTCGTGTTCGGGACATACACGGTAAGTTAACTCACTTGATACACGGTAAGTTAACTGACTTGATACACGGTAAGTTAACTCACTTGATACACGGTAAGTTAACTGACTTGATACACGGTAAGTTAACTCACTTGATACACGGTAAATTAACTCACTTGATACACGGTAAGTTAACTCACTTGATACACGGTAAGTTAACTCACTTGATACACGGTAAGTTAACTCACTTGATACACGGTAAGTTAACTCACTTGATACACGGTAAATTAACTCACTTGATACACGGTAAGTTAACTCACTTGATACACGGTAAGTTAACTCACTTGATACACGGTAAGTTAACTCATTTGATACACGGTAAGTTAACTCACTTGATACACGGCAAGTTAACTGACTTGATACACGGCAAGTTAACTGACTTGATACACGGTAAGTTAACTGACTTGATACACGGTAAGTTAACTCATTTGATACACGGCAAGTTAACTGACTTGATACACGGTAAGTTAACTGACTTGATACACGGTAAGTTAACTCATTTAATACACGGTAAGTTAACACACTTGATACACGGTAAGTTAACTGACTTGATACACGGTAAGTTAAGGGGGCCGGGGGGGTCTTCATCAAAATTCTCTCGAAATTGATTTTATAGTTGTTTCTGATAGAGGGGAGTGATATCTATCAGCTGCTTTTGGTCCCATGGAAAAATATTGTTCCTAGCCAAAATTATCGCCAGTCAAATGTCAGCGCTCATGTGTAATTGTATTGCGCGAGCGATTTTCAATCGCGCGCCCTGAAAATCGAGTCTAAAAATCTATCTTCTCCTACATTTTTTGAGCAATCACCCTGAAACTTTCAGGATATGTTCTAGGGATCATTTAGAAGATATCTGTCGAGCCGAATTTTGAGATAGGCCTTAGAAGATTTTTTATTCAATTTTGAAAATCTTGGACCTGGAAAAATCGTAAAAAAATGAGGTCCAAGATTTTCAAAATTGAATAAAAAATCTTCTAAGGCCTATCTCAAAATTCGGCTCGACAGATATCGTCTAAATATGATCCATAGAACATATCCTGAAAGTTTCAGGGTGATTGCTCAAAAAATGTAGGAGAAGATAGATTTTTAGACTCGATTTTCAGGGCGCGCGATTGAAAATCGCTCGCGCAATACAATTACACATAAGCGCTGACCTTTGACTGGCGATAATTTTGGCTAGGAACAATATTTTTCCATGGGACCAAAAGCAGCTGATAGATATCACTCCCCTCTATCAGAAACAACTATAAAATCAATTTCGAGAGAATTTTGATGAAGACCCCCCCGGCCCCCTTAACTCACTCGATACACGGTAAGTTAACTCACTTGATACACGGTAAGTTAACTCACTTGATACACGATAAGTTAACTCACTTGATACACGGTAAGTTAACTCACTTGATACACGGTAAGTTAACTCACTTGATACACGGTAAGTTAACTCACTAACTATTCACTAACTATTGACTAACTTAAGAGTTAAGATGTCTTACTAATGGCCACCAGCTCTGTTTACATGTTTACATGCATATTATCAGAGAATAAATTTAGCAGTTTTAAAACTCCACCTTAATTCCACAGTTAGGAGGAGATTCTCTAGAATTTACATTTGAAGTAACAGATAACACGTCTTATAGTGGACATTACACACACACAGATCTAGAATGCAATAAAAACGCTAACGGTTAGTTTTATTCTTTATTTATTATTAAAAACTTCTTTCACTTTCACTTTTACTGCCAATGATTCATCAGATCTAAATATTGTGTCCTTTCAAATGTACAATATATTATTTATTCTACTCTTAGTTTTAATTCTCGGATAGTTTTAAATTCTCCACTACACAGTTTGAAAGGGATTCAAAAACTTATTACAGTCAATTCACTCAGTACTGTAATTATAGGTAGTAGTAGTGAAAAGATCTTATTATAGGTTCTGATAATATTAACTACAGAATACCCCCCTGGCCCCTTGCCCCCCGGCCCCCCTCCCCAATATACTAAAATCCCTTTTGTTTCAGGTAAGCTGTGTCTTAACGTGATAGACGGGCCTCCAATGTGTAAAACAATCCTTTGCAATGAGAAGAAGATAAAAGGTTAGAAGTTCAGGACAAGTTTAATTTGCATTTAAATCATACGACGAACAATCAACAATGTCATGTAGGATGTCATACACATGTTTTAGATTAAATGTTGGCCCGAAGAACATTTACAGTATGTTAGGAATAATTAATCGGTAGAAGTGGTAAAGTTTGAGTAATATTTTACTGAAGAAGTAGTAGCTTAGTAGTAGTAGTTTACTGAAGAAGTAGTAGCTTAGTAGTAGTAGTTTACTGAAGAAGTAGTAGCTTAGTAGTAGTAGTTTACTGAAGAAGTAGTAGCTTAGTAGTAGTAGTTTACTGAAGTAGTAGTAGCTTAGTAGTAGTAGTTTACTGAAGAAGTAGTAGCTTAGTAGTAGTAGTTTACTGAAGAAGTAGTAGCTTAGTAGTAGTAGTTTACTGAAGTAGTAGTAGCTTAGTAGTAGTAGTTTACTGAAGTAGTAGTAGTAGTTTACTGAAGAAGTAGTAGCTTAGTAGTAGTAGTTTACTGAAGTAGTAGTAGCTTAGTAGTAGTAGTTTACTGAAGAAGTAGTAGCTTAGTAGTAGTAGTTTACTGAAGAAGTAGTAGCTTAGTAGTAGTAGTTTACTGAAGGATTTGTCCTTGTCTGGACACTCAATACCATTTACTTGTTCTTTAAACTTTTTACCCCTTACTCAGAGTCAGATATAATCGACAACGAGATAATATCAGAGAACGTAATATCTGAAGATCCCATGAACTGGAGAACCTGGGCCAAGTTTGCTAATCCTCTGGAATGGTTTAATGGCATCTCTAACTATCAGGTTATTATTTATTAACTATTATGGTATTTTGAATCGAATTTTTAGTCAAATTCTTGATAATCAATAATTTTTCTGGTGGAATTTTTAGAGTGATTTTTACCTGCCCTCGCAGGATTAAAGGGAAAATTTATTGAAATTCTAAATTTGACGAATGATGATCACACTAAGACCCCACGTCACACGTGACACTAATACCCCACGTGATACTAAGACCCCACGTGACACTGTCTAGAAAAAGTCCAAATTGGGTTCAGTTGTCCGGTAGCCGAAAGGAAAGCCCACGTGACACTGAAAGCCCACTTGACACGTGACTGATATACAATTGCAGGAAGCTATAATGTTAGTGGTAGAAGTGGTGGGCATGTTCGGTACAGTATTCCTCGTTATCAAGATACTAAAGATGTTGAACCTCCTGGGGAAATGTTGCCGCTGTATGTTCTGCTGCTTCCTGTGTCCCAAGGTTAGTGTTAAAGGGACAAGTGAACATATTGACGCTAACAGCGAGATTCGTATCTGAGCTTTGAGAAACCCCTGCTTCTGTAACAGATTGATCGTGTCAACTCAACACTTTCCTCCTCAGGCAGAAGATAAGATAAGGAAGCGTGCAACCACAGTCAGTTCTAACTCGCGACGCCGCTTTACGGAAACAAAACGCCGCATGACCGCACGAAGTAGGAAGTTTACCTCCTCGTTTAAGAGAAACCACAGAGTCACTTCTGATGGCTCTAAAGAGGGCAGGAACAGGAGCTTTAAGGAAACTGTCAGGTTTAGTTTTCTTCTAAATTATCAAATCTATTAAATCCAACAAGGGCTGCATTTAATTCATGATCTATTATTAAATTGGAATATTCCTATTAAATCTAGTAAATTCAAAGCCAAAAACTTAACTCAAACGTTGCCGTATACACTTGCAGGTATATAAACATAGTATGATTTCAGAGTTCGTCTGACAACTGCAGCTGCAGTGGAGTACTTGAGAAGGAAGGTACGAGGAGAGCCAACACCTCCGGTTACTAACGAATACGAACTGGAAGAAGGCTCAAAGAAAATACCCACTAAAGTACAAGAAAACGATATGACGTGCGAATCAGAGGAAACTACGGAGGAAAAAGGACATGTAAATGTGATGTTTGAAGAGGAGGGAAGATCTGGGGAAGAGGCGGGAAGATATGGGGAAGAGGCGGATAAGACGGGACATGTGAATGAGATGTTTGAAGAAGAGGAGGTGAGAAGAAACAAGCCAGTTACAAAAACTGTCAGCTTTAAATAGAACACGTAGGAAGGTTCTTACTGAAATACTTCAGCTCCAAATATGAGTATTTTGTTGGAACACTGAGTAAAGTCAGGTGATTTCTTAATGAAATTAGGTTTTCTGTGATTAATATTATGTTCCATTAACAATCAGAACTTCATTTTTATTATACAATCAAATCCCCATATTTAGCTATTTTTACCGTTACATTTCTATATTTTCCAGCGTTTTATTACTTGGCAGCTGATGTTTTTGTGATTTTCAGTTATATTATTATTGAGATGTAAAGCATGTTTTCTTTACATAGTGCTATTATTTTCTTTACATAGTGCTATTATATGTATTTGATATGCCTAATGAATGATACATATAATTTTTACTATAATATTAATTAATTACGAAGGTGTCGATTTATTAATTTACAAATTGCAGCATTATGTAAATAAAGAATATTCACTAACTTTGACAGCTAAGTTGAGAAGTGGAATAAAGCTAATAAGAGGAAGCAAGGTAACAGCGAATATAAGGGGAATAACTGAGTATCCAATAACACCGAGTGTCTGTCCGTATGATACCTGCGGGGAGATGTTAGTTAATGTACTTAATTAGTTAATACTCAGTAAGTACTATAAGTTATTAAATAGCTGATCACAAATAATCTGAGTACTATGACGGAGAATAAAGTAAATAAACGGTATATAAAGTAGTCTAATCCCCCGCCCCCCCCCCGGCCCCCACTCGTCTAACCTCTGCTCCGAGTACACGAGTTAGTACGAAGATAAGGAACGATCCTCCAAGCCAGATAGTCAATATCCACGAGATTACCTGCATAGCAGTTAATAATCTGTCTAATATTTATTAATAATTATTCAAATATGTTTACACAAAATCCCTCCGGAGGTGTTAAATTTGGTAAGATGTTTAAACAACATGCATCATGAGAATATGTTACAACACAGGGTACAAAAATGAATTTAAAAATGTAGAAGTGAAACTAAATCCAAGGTGAAAGTGAAAGGTAATCCAAAGTGAAACTAACATGTAGCTGTCCGTAAAGAGAGACGAGTGAGAAGAGGAGAATGATGAAGAGAGGGCCCCAGAAGTCAGGGCTATCTTTGAGGACCTCTCTTTTGAAGCCTAGCGAGGGAAGTGGGAACATTACACATCTCACTTTGTAGTAGATATCTGTCAGGTCTATATCTAGTTCCTCTCTGGGGGTTTAGCCTTGTTAATCATCAAACACGCAATTAATTGTTTCTTATAATTCTCGTTCAATTGATTACTACTAGCTCTCTATTTTTTAATGCTCTCAAAAACTAGATCGTGATAAGTCATGATGTAGTCGGCATTTACTTAAATCTTTATTATATAGAAAGAGTACTTGGTGATCACATAACACTAAAACACTAATAAGTCCCCTCCCTCTTAAACACTAACAGTAGAGGTTTCTGCTCCTCATCGTCCTCCTCCACTTCCAGCAACCATCCGTAACCTCTGTTATCTAGAGCTGACGAGAACGCTCCTTTTCTCTGTTTTATACCTTCCCCCGATATCGTACCTACGCAATATAATATGGTTACATTACATCTAGTAGTACAGTAGTATCCTTGTGATTCTTTTTTATTGCAGATTTCATTAGTCCAATACATAGGTCCTCGAAATTTAAATAAGTAACTGTTAGTACAAATAGTAAATGGATTAAGTTAAAAACCTTATCAAATATTAATTGTCTGAGAGCGGGGTAATACCTGGAATATGGGTTTAATTACTCACCTGACACATCAATAGTGGGGACACTAGCAACAAACTCCATTTGTGTAGGAGAAGTAGCCTGTACATTAGCAGTGTGGTGTTCTTGTGATTCTAGCTCCATATCTACTATCTCGTAACTACTTCTACTACCTGTATAGTACATATTAGAATAGCACGCTAATCAATTAGTATCAACAGTAATTATAATAGATAATTAGTATCAACAGTAATTATAATAGATAATTAGTATCAACAGTAATTATAATAGATAATTAGTATCAACAGTAATTATAATAGATAATTAGTATCAACAGTAATTATAATAGATAATTAGTATCAACATTAATTATAATAGATAATTAGTATCAACAGTAATTATAATAGATAATTAGTATCAACAGTAATTATAACAGATAATTAGTATCAACATTAATTATAATAGATAATTAGTATCAACAGTAATTATAATAGATAATTAGTATCAACATTAATTATAATAGATAATTAGTATCAACAGTAATTATAATAGATAATTAGTATCAACAGTAATTATAATAGATAATTAGTATCAACAGTCATCACAAGGACGTTTATTAAAGAGGGTTTCACTGAATCAACGAACGAACTGAAAGGCAAACGAACTACAAGTTAACGTTGTTGATATATCTCGGTTATTCTGCGTGATATTAACAGTACAATGTACAGGTATATAGCTAATAGTACTCTACCTGTTGTTCTATGCGGTGTAGGAGTAAAGTTACTTTACTAGATATTATACAGTATTATAATTGTACTGTAGTTGTATTATTGTGTGGCACATATTACCACCATTTAGTATAATCCATGTTAATTTTATTTGGTCGCCTAAATAACTATAAGCATAATCACATAAATGCACATTGCACATGAAATATGATCTTACCGTTTGAACTGTACAATTCATCCTCCGGATAGTTAGACATGAACTTTATTACTTTCTGCTAGATGGAAAGTTGTTTAAATTCAGTTCAATAATACAGTTAATTCTGTGCTGAAATTGGTTTTGTCACAATGATTTTCTGGATGGAATGTACGTGACGTATAATACGTCATTCTCATTTTTACCGGTAGATATGACTATTTTCAAGATATAAATTATTAGTCATATTAATAGAGTGGAACTACTGTCCATAATATAATAAGCGGTACAGCACATGATTTAAAATGATTAATAATGATAAAAACAAGTTGCATTAACAAATATAACAATAACGATGATTAAAATACAAATAAATGTAAAACATATGAAACATATCATCGTTTTCTGGGCCAACATGATTTTATAATAATAAGGAATAGACCAAAAGTAAACGACTTCTTCGCAATATTAGATTGTTAGTTAAGTAAGCAAGAAAATCATCCAAATCAGCATTATTCACACAAGATCAAATTTAATAAAAACTCCTCCACTATCTGATGATAATACCCAAATACTACCCTATTCTCAAGTTCCCCAAATACCACGCCTCACATCGCCCAATTTACAGATCGTCATTTGAAATGAACTTATTCCCCTCACTATTCTTCCCCTTGTACTTGTAACTACGTTTCCCGAACCCAGCACGCTGTACCATGTCCTGGCTCCTGTCTAGGGGGGTTGTCTCTGCTGTCCTCAGATCTAGTGATCTAGTCAGATCTAGAGAGTCATCAGGACACAGGTCCTCTTGCAGAGCCTTTACAACTTGTACTATCTTAACTCTGTTCTGTGCGTCATAGCGCTCTGCTGCTACTACAGGTCTGGAATCTAGAAACCTGGGATAGGAATGGTTTAATATAAATGGAACACAAAATCATATAGTTTATATTAGCAAAGAAATGGAACTAGTTGTCTCTGTGATGAAGTGTCTCACTTGAGGTGTTTGAGGCGGTTAATGACAGAGTAGCGGTAGTTCTGATAATCCTCCTCGTCACCGTGCATTAGCTCATTGGGACAAGCCGGGTTACCTGACAGGTTCAATAAAATACTCAGCATTATCAGTTGAAAATATTATACAAGGACATATATTATTATTGTTCATTCATGTACAAGTTGAACTTTAAAAGAAGTTAAAACAAAAATAAATTAAATATAATTGAGAAAGTAAGTAACTACAAAGTACAAACCCAACAAGCTGAGGAATTCTAATAGAGGGGTGTGTTTACTGAGTGTATCCAGTAAGTTATCCAGATCGTAAACCCTGTTCTTGTTAAGTGAGAGCGTGTGTAGAAAGGGTAGCAGTGGGATCTGTATGTTAGACAACATGTTGTTGTCCAGGATAAGTTCGCGTAGTCCCACAAACCTTTGTAGCCCTTCTACCTGTTTTGATAGAGTATGAATTTGTTGAGAAGTAAACAGCAGTGTTAATCTTGTGATAATACAAGTAATACAACACCACGCTATGATGTAGATAATTTGTTGCGTACTAGACAGTCACTTTTAACAAGATAAGATACATGTAACAAGATGTGGTATAATGACACTGTCTGCAACTAAAAACTGAGAAATTTTGTAGGAGAAATAAACTGCAAAAATTAAAATTAAAATTTCATAATGCGGAGCTGCATTCCAGGGTTTTAAAATGCATAGATTAAACTATGGGTATCTATGTAAAAAATCAATAGTAAAGATGTCAATGGATCATAAAATATGTGATGGTATGACAAAAGGAACCTTCTCCAACAGATTGTAACTAAGGTCGAGATGTTTTATGTATTGAGCATTGTTTGGAGCTATGTTAAACTCAGTGATATCCTGGCCCACTAGAAACAGACTGTCTGTTTCCTTATTGCTTGAATACTCATTATCGTTATCTGAAACAATCAGGATTGAGTTTAGTAAGGAGATGGATCACTCAAATCATTTGTTCTCATGAGCATCATTCTTCAATCATTGGAGCTATAAATGAATATATCTACCTACTGATTACAATAAGATAGTTACCTGTAGTGGTAAGCATCTCGCTCAGCTTTGTTCAGTAAATACAGGCAAATGTCGGTACTCTTTTAACAAAACTTTCTGTTGATGGTTAGCACTTTTGTAAGCTGCTAGTTTTTCCTTGAGCTGTTCAGTTGTTTCAGAGGATAGTTGAGATACAACTTCACGTGCTTCTTTAAACTGATTTTCTATGTTATCCACCTGTCAAATAAATCATAGAATGGGATAGTGCAAAATGGAATATGCAGAAATTTGGTATTACAATGTTTAAACAAAACAGATTGGTATGCTGGAGCAAGAAAATAATGATGCATTATAATACTCTAGGTTAAATAATAAGTATTTACATACCAATGTAACTTGTTGCATTATGTGTGTTAGAAATATGATCCATTAAAGGGACGAGGTATGTTAAAAAACTTACAGTTTTATTAACGGTTCCAATATCACTTGTTGTGTTTAGAAGCTCAAGCAGTTTGTAGATCTCAGGCAGAAACTGTGTCACTTGTCCTAATTTTTTGCTCTCTGTCACGTTTCTAGGGTCCATAATTGAAACCCATAAATCTAAAGATTATATTAAGTTAGACAAGTGCCAGACTAGGAACAATCCACTCTCAGTTACAAATGGGCCCCCTCTGATTAAAACATTATCAAACAACATTGGGGAATATCTAATTTTCATATAATCTTTTAGTAAGAAAAAGTAGTTTAACATAAAGCAGATTGTTTCCAATGAAGTTTTAGTAAGAATTGAGGGAGCCAGTTATGTCAGTAATAAAGAAAAAAAAAAAAAAAAGGGAGCAACTCACGGTATCACTCTCATAAGAGACATGTTTCATCATTTACCGGAGTTGCAACCAAATATACACAATAAGGTTTGGTACTTTATCTGTACCTCCCCTTTCATAGAAATAATAGCAAAAATATACACCTATCTTTAAGAAATCAACATCTGATATAAAACATTCGATCAACCAAAATTAAGACAATTTTCCTGTTAATAATTTAACGGCACTCATAAGAGGTCATACTAGGTATAAGTCCAAATGCTGTGTCAGCAACCGTTTTTGTTACTTTCTTTTCTTCTTGACTCCTCACACCATGAACTGATACCACTAAGCTTTTAAGCATAGCAAAGCATATCTTGGTCCTGATGTAGTTGATAACATCTGTGTAGCTCTCCTTTCTCTTCTTTGATATCAATCTAGCAAGACGTTTGTGAAATCTGTCACATTCTGGTGCTGTAGTCCCTGCTGTCAGTAATAAAGAGAAACATAACGATTATCTTTGGTTTCGTACTTATGTGGCAAAGAAGCATTTTATAAATCTTTATTCCACTGGAAAGTTTTTAAAATAGGATAATGTTTTTGATAAATTTTTTGAAAATATTGTATTTGATAAATAATTTATTATATATTTTTTCACACAGTTCGATGATATTTTGTAGACATGTGTGATGATGTGATGTCATAAATTTTACTTTACTTTACTTTACTTTAGATTTGAAGTGAAACCAAAAGGGCTGCATCAAAAACCAGCTGGTGATTTCCGAATTTATAGACAACATATCTCCAGATTATGCATTTCTGGAGCATGCTCCAGAATTTAAATAGTGCATTTCTGGTAGTTGGTCCTAGCCTTGCATCTGAAAAATATTCCAGCCACGGTACGGATTTGTTAAAGGTCAAAATCTGCTTTTCCCATAACAATGTTCTTGGTGGAACTTCCAGTGAGCTGCTGTGAGCAACTACAATAATGAGGATAAAAACTACTTGGAGCAGAAAATTGTTTTCAATTACTAGACCAGGAATCTACTCATTCCCCTCTGTCTTTACAATGGTACAAGCCATAATATTTCCATTGACTTAGTGCCTCAAGAGTAGGAAACTATGACTATGTCGATTATTTTGTTAAGTTGCCTTTACAGTTTATGACTAACAATTTTATTCCCTTGATGGGTTATAAACCCACAAGTCTTGCGAGTAGCTAAGGATCCATTGGATTTATACAAATTACACATCTGGGTAATGTATCCCCGATCAAGAATCTTCTTAGGATACCCCTTCAATTATAATAATAATAATAATAATTCTATACAGTTACATAATTAAAACAATTAAGGCCTCTTATTGTGGGCAAAGTATGTGTCTTTGTTGAAGTGTCCTGGGATAAAACTTATCTGAGTGACTGCATTAATTAAATAATTTAAGGTGAGTTCTTTTAACACTTTAAGGCAATAGTAATAAATACTAGGACCTACTAAAATCAAAACAAAATGCAGCCACCTAATTTGATGTTAAGCTATCCCCCTGCTCCTCTCAAGGAAAGAGCACCGCGGCGCGCATAGAGACAAGTTAACGTCTGGTAATCGGCGTGCGCGCGCTACTGCAAAGCTTTGGTTAATTCTGTTATGTTAACGGGTCTTGTAGGTTTACTGCAACCTACCAGGACGCGCGCCGAGTTGGACTCGTCGACGTGCGACGGTCCTATTCAAAACAAATATTTAATTGTATCACGTCGTGACCCCCAATGTCGTGTCACTATAGTGTAGTAGAATTTTAACGATACAGGGGGACCCGCGCACTCGTACGCGGCGGGTCATACAACGTATGACAAATATTTAACGAGTATCACCCGTTATTAACGGGTGATACTCTTTTTCAAATAATAGACCGTCGACGATCTCCAACTCGGTGGGCGCATTTTAGTAGCGTAGGTTATAAGCCTACAAGACTTAATTGGTTAAACTTAAAATATCAATGATCAACATTTGATTGACTATTATGTCAACCCTTTGAGATCGTTGCTTAGCGAAGCCCGTTAAATACAAAAATGATAATCACATTTATTGAATTTACGATCGTGGCAATCCTGAAATAAAAAACAAATCATATTGAGCAAATTTTGGCCGTAAAAATGTATTATATGGTCGGTGGTCCCTTCAAAATAAAAATCAACAATAATGTTTATTGTTTAAATTGAGATAAGTAGGAATACCAATTTTAGCCAGTCTCGCCTTTACTCTACAAAGCTGTTGTCATACGCTGTATGACCCGCCGCGCACGAGTGCGCGGCTCCCCCTGTATCGTAGAAACTATACAGGGGTTTAGTGAAACGACCGTGGGGGTCACGACGTGATACAACAAAGCTGACTATATAATAATTCTTCCTGGTATTATGAAACTTGTCAGGCTCTGTTATGTAGTCTGTTTCAGTCTCAGTTCTTCTACAAGCTTTTCGTAAGCTCGTCTCGCGACAGTTCTATCAGGGCTGATGTAAACCGCTCTATACCCCTCTATAGTGTGTAGTTTACTGGCGTTTCTGATCACTTGTGTCAGAGTTGCTCGATATGAACTTGACTGGTCCTATATTTAGGACACATTTTCTTTCAGAGCTCCAAATCGACAGCAGTCTTTGTGTAAAGGCTTCTCACCGATTTCACTCAGAACCTCCTCAAGGTTACTCTGGAGTTGCTCATTCTCTGATTATGATAGTAAACCATAAATGACAACGTTCTTGTTTCTCTCAATCTGGTTTTCTACTTTCTTAACTGCAGCGTGTATCTACTTCGGGGCGCAAGCAGCATTGTATTGATACTTTTGCTAACGACTGAAGAGTAGCTTTTCATCTCCGTTTGCACGACTATTCTGCACTGATTTTAGCAGTTCGTCGCTTTTCTCTATTACGTTCTATTACTTTCTATTATTTCTATTACTTTCTATTACTTCCTATTACTTTCTATTCAGTTAAACAAAAATTTCAGTTAAACAAAAATTTCATTTTTATGCCACTTATTTCAGAATAAACAAGTTTACAATTAATCAATTTGATATTTAAAGGAATCCTAATTCAATGTGTAGTATGGTTACTTTCTATTAATTTTTTCTACTACTTTACTGTGAAGATAGATGATAGTGCTCTGATCTGAAATCTTCTCACTTTTCAGCTTGTCAATTTCTTCTGCAAGAGGTGTCGCCATCCTTAGCCAGGGGATACTGACCTGGTCCAATATACAACAGACAGTTTCCAACCATTTGCATAGTTTCTCTTTCATTAATCATTACTCTCTTGTTCATGATCTCTTGTTCATCAAATTGCAAGATTGAATCTCCTCGTAACTTATCTTGTTAATTTCACTTTTAATCTTGGATAAAAAACTGTCCCTTGGTCAAAATACAACTTATGAAAGATCTGATCTCTAACCGCATGCAAATTCTTTAGATGTTTGTTATACAAGGGTTTTGCATTGTATATTTCTGTCCACAAGATGTGTAGCAAGCACACAAAGGCACAGGCTAGTAATTCTTATCACAAGTTACCAAAAGATAAGAGAGTTTGATAATTGCAATGTAAGCTCCACTGACACACGTATATTTTTTAGTCATGTCTTTGATACAATTCAGAGGTAATACACATAACATGTTATTACCGTTACATCATGTGTGTTTACGAACTGTTACCCCTCTTGTGATTCTGTTATATATAAGTAGTACAGTCAAATACGTCTTTTTGTCAGACAAAATTCGCAACTAAGCGATTTTAAAGGGAAATGGTCCCAGGAATCATTCCAGAGAATTCCCAAACCACATTTTTTTACCACCTTTTTACCATTTTGGTTTTCCGCAAATAAGTCAAGTTCTGAATATCCTAGAAGATTCTAGTTTAAAGCAGTGTGTTTAGAAAACAAAGAAGAACAACTTTTTCATTAACAACTTTTTCCAAAATAAATTATTCAATTAATTAAATATAATGAACTAATTTTCATAAAACTTTTGAAAATTTCACTTGCAATATTTTGGACTTTTCGAAATTTGTAAAGAGTAACCACTATTTACCACTTTTTGCCACATTGAATCTCCGCTAATAAAACGACTTCTGAATGTCGTAGAAAGTTCTAGATTAAACTAATCGTGCAGAAAGCCCAATTACAGTATCCTAGCAGTTTTAATACTTTCAACACTACTATATAACAAATAATTTGAGTTCAGGGATGGCAAGTAACAATGTACCCGAGAGGGTGTCGATACGAAAAAAACGTGGAGTCAAGACGAGTCCCCCTAAGGATTCATCTTCTGATAATGTCCCAGTGCCAGAGGAAAAATACTGCCAATGTGATGTTTACATGTCAGAAGAACTATCAGTTGAATGTGAAGCTTGCCAATTATTTTGGCACCTGAGTTGTGTTGGTTTATCTGGCCTTAAAAACGAGATGTTACTGAATCTAACAAATTGGAAGTGCCCATACTGTTTTGTGGCACCTCATACCTCAGCTGACACTAAGGAAAACGGGGCTGTCAGGGCTATTATTAAAGAGGAACTCCAACATTTGACCCCAGCCCTGACTAACTCGATTAAGGAAGCTATTAAAGGAAGCGCAGATAAAACTGTCAACAAAGCTGTGCAACTTTACTCAGAAATTACAGCAAAATCTCAGAGGACAGTAATAGAAGATCTGAGCAACTCCCAGTCATCAGAAAATGTTATTGCTAAAGTGCAGTCCAAGATGCACACTGATGCATTTGAAAGGAACAGAAGGAAACATAACTTATGTGTTCTGAAGGTTCCTGAGAGTAAG